TGGGGTCCTGACATAGAACGCAACTCGTGTTCGCTTGTCGGTTCCACAATAGCATTCTGTCTCCCGTGGCAACTCTGTTTTTTACAACTAACCAGGTGGTAAAGGCATACTTCGGGGTAGCGAAACCAAACCATATCCCTCTATATCCCTCCATCGTTGGCTTAACATTGCGGATCTGTGTCAACGTCTCACTTGTGACGAACTTCTCGCGGTAGTGATCATTCTTTCCTTTCCATAAAGCTATGTCTCTTTCTCCTACTCTTTGACACAGTCTCTGTTTTTTTATTTCCTCCTCAACCTGATTCAACAAAGCTGATCTATGCCTCCTTCTGATTCAATTTTCAATACAAACATTGTGGACGAGACCCCAAAACAACCAAAAGGCGTCACAAGATGCTAGTATAGGCGAAGCCTAACCATATATGATTATATGAACATCATTGGAGGCCGGAGTTGGACTACATTTAGAGAGCACAATAAAATAATTTCTGGCTTGAAACCTTTTTATCTACCATACATACATCATACGTGTTTTTTGTTTTTCTGAGACCTCTATCACCACCCCCATAAAGTATCGCATAAGGTAGCTAATCTTTCTCACAAGAATCAATCTCATACTTAAATGATCTAGTTGATGCTAAAAAGCAGCCCCTTATACCAAATGAATAGAGGACAGCCAACTCCAAAAATCTCATTTTCATGGTTCATACGATTTTATACTAAACATTATATGTAACACAAAAAATCATATGTTTTCTATAATATATCCGCCAATTTCATTCTGATTCTTTTAGCAAAATTTGTCATGGGAGCTAATGTACATGTATTGAATTGTTTACAGTCACTTGAGCTAGAAATTACAGAGCCAAGTTAACCCGATCGAGAAGCATTGCTTGCTCAGTCAATTCATTGCTCTCTAACTCCTGCAACTTTAGAGCCATTTCAGAGCTATGTCCAGCCCGCAAGCTTCTGGCAAGCGACCGTATAGCTCTAGTGATCAACTCTTTCTTCAGCTTCCCACCCGAAGTGCTTGTGCCGCTTGATCCAGACACATTATCTTCCTCCTTCAATGTCACACACAATCCTCTCAACCACTCCTCTAGAAAAGAGGCTTTCTGTCAGGTTTCATGCGACACCAACAAGACAATATATGAGTCACTAATCCTTTAAAATCAAGCTATGAAAACAGTTGTATTAACAATAATAGCTGCCAGTTTCTTACTCTTATAAGAAAATCAGTCAACGCTTCGAAATGACAGCTTGAAACTAGGCTCAGGAGATGCAGCATGGTTGAGGTTAACTGAAACGAGCAACTGTGCTTTAGATAAATCATTCATCAATAACCTAAAATTAAGCCAACATCATTTTACCTGATTCTCAAGCGATCTCTTATATTTAAAATTTGTTGGAGTCGTCTCTCTGTCAGAATGCAGACTTTGTAAAGTATGCTCTACACCTTTGACAACATCAGGGAATGATCTCCCATAAGCTGCAATTACATAATGAGCGAGAAAGAAATTAGCCAAACAGTACAATCCCAAAACACATACAATATGAGACAAACAAATTCTATTCTCCAAATTAATATAGCTACATGGTTAGAGAGGGAGAGGGATAGAGAATCAAAGTCACCAAGTGGGGTTGCTGGGACAGCTAAAGCGGCAGCAGCTTGGATTCTAATCTTAAAGTTTGATGCATCACGAAGCAGCAATAGTAAGATACTAAAAACACTTGGAGCCCTGCAAAAGAAAAAGAAAAAGTTATTAGAGGTCACCGAGAGAAGCAGCTTGGGTAATAGAAAGCTAAAGGATGCTTACCAATCCATATCTTGCAGTTTTACTGTCTCATTGGAGAATAAATTGCTCAACGCATGACAAACATTCCATTGAACCTGCACAAATTTCTGAAGTCAAACTATGTAGTAGATAAAGCTAAGGATGCGTAAGTATACAAACCGAACCACATTCGACCAAACCAGATCAAACTGAATAACGTTTCTGTATGCAAATTAATTAGATTTTAATTTAATAAGCTTTTTCTCAAACAAAACTTGGCCGACTCAACCAAAACTAACTGAAACCCACATGTTCACATCCAAACGAAACCATCTCATTTACTTCTACTTATCAGGTATACCTTAACATTACCAGTAGTAACACAGGAAAGAAATGCCTGAACGGTTCTCTCCAACCACCTTGTATCTCCCGCGCAGGATAGATGGTGGGAATTTGATGAATGTTGATGGGGAAAAGGTAATACATCTTGGTCCACTGACTTTATACTTGTCATGCATCTCAAGTTTACATATTTTGAAATACTCCCCAGTGCCCGAACTGCATTGGATTTAACCTAACAATAGAATTCCGAAAATGATGATGGCAAATGTGCACATAACTACAATACTAAGAACTACTGTGTGATCCATAATAAAAAAAAGTTCTGCAAGCCAGTTTTGACATCCATATGGATCAGACGAGTGCAGTCAATTTATCTATCAGAGAAACAAAACATTTTGATTACAAGTTACGGAGAGAACAACTAATTTATTTAACAGAGGAATATTTGGGATTAAGAAGCATATCACCGAGTAAAAAGAGATACTAATTTATCAAAATGTGTTGGGAACTATTTTTATTACCTTGTCCCCATCCTCAGTTAGGCGCAAAGCACATTCTATTAGTGCATCCACAACTTGTGAAGTTGTCTTTAATCCTACTTAGGAGGATAAAAGAAAGTAAATCCATACGTTCTATCAGATCTAATCATAACGTCAGTACTAATACCTTCAAAGGATCTATCATCGACGCGGTATCGTAGAGCATCGCATACATTGGCCAAGGCCCATGATGCTGTTATACGCACCTGAATTGACAAAAATAAAGCCCATTGCAGTAGAAAAATAAGATATAAAATGCATAGATCATGAGAACAAATAAATGAAAGTCAGTAATGCAATACCGAGGTCAAGGAGTCGCGGGTATTAGCTTCAACAGCTATGATAAATTTTTCATATATCTCCGCACTGCATCCACAAAGTTCCTTAAGTTCTTGGCCATGGATATCTTGCCAGGGTTGACAAGCAACAAACAGTGACAAAGGGTTAAGTTACCTTATAGAAGTTTCTGGAAAACATGAAATTACACCAATAGCGCGGCAAGCTGCTGATCGGACTGAAGGTGTTTTGTCATGCAATGCAGCGGTTATCTACAAAAACTAAAAGACATCATGCACTCACTCTAAAACTAAAGTCGAAATAGTAATACCAACAATCCCAAAAAGACTCCAATACTTACAATTGATGAAGTAATAAAGTCCTTTTCCTGCTTACTGAAAGCGGCAAATATGGAGGATGTTATACCAGCAAAGCAAGTAACTGTAGTGCTCCTCACCTTCCAAACATAGGAAGAAATTCAGGACCGCAGATATTATGCAAACTACAGCAACTGCTTCTATGATTGTACTATTAGTTGTACAAAAACATAAACTTGTCAAGATTTTAACCCACCACTGCAGAACCATGGTGTAACACCAGAACTATATGTTTACGAATAGCCTCAGACCATTGGTCACATCCTGCCTGAAAGATTGGCTCTTGGGTATTATCAAATCCATATGATGGTGCAGATGAGATTCTTATTGACCTTATGCAGTCAGATGTAAATGGTGTATCCATTAATCTATCGTACTGAAGATCTTCTGTTCCCTTAAATCCAGATATTGCGCGAAGGCATCCATCCAAAACCTACATACAATCCTGTGTAAGTTCTTATTTGTAAACATGGCCCAAAGACATTGCTCAAATGGTTCAGCTGTCAAACTAGGTTCTTTCCAAGAGCAGACAAAATCAAAACTAAATCTGAGCATGCTACCAATCAGCAATGAATAGCCCTGCTCCACAGAAGTTAGGGAATTTAGAATATGTTTCAATTTTAAATATATAGAACATAGTTATTTGATATCCTGCCTTAATAGCAGCTGTAAGGACTTTATCCCCATTATATCCAACAGACTCTCTAACTGAAGCCTTCCATGTCGTTGGAGAATCTTCAACAACAGCAGACTGCAAAAGTTTATACACGAGGACAGAGACCCGTTCCCAATATGCAGGCACTAAGGTTGGGTAATTGAGAGCCACAGCTCGGAGGACCTGCGCGAAAACCATATAATTTTGGATGAAAACATAGGACAGGTAATGTAGCAGCTCTCATTATCAAAATCTCTACATAGGGATACATGAAAGGGAAACAAAAAGTCAGCATATTCCTCAACCATGACCTAGTCTCACATAATCTTCTCCCTCAGCAAAAAAAAATGTTAAAAGTTTTCTTAATGTACTTAAAGAGTTCAGACAGCACCATATGCACCTGAATTTATTCTGAGTCTATCCTTCTACTTTTATAATAACTCCTTAGAAGGGAAATCAACTATAATAAGAACAACCGAATACCTGAAGAGCCTCAATGCATGTTGATGCGTCAGCAAATTGCTCAGCAAAACGAAATAAAGTAGAAAGAACTCCTGAATTCCATTCACATCCATCGAATCCTGAAATGACTTAAAGAAAGAATGTCAAATATTATAATGAGATTATGGTTAGGACAGTAGTCACCATGGAACAGGCGCAAGATAAGGTCGACCTGCTGATGTCTCATCCAAAAGCATATTATGCACTTTCATTTGAGGAGGAAAGGTGGAAAATGCAGCTGTCAGGCAACCTATTGCGGCAACCTGTACAAAACAGATCATGATATAGGTATGGCATTCACAGGACCAATATTTTTTAAAGTAGTTAGAGTTCAGAGAATATTTTATTCAGAAAGTTAAAAGCCTGAGTTCTCAGCTCAGCATAACCAACCATCAAATGTGGGAAGGCTTAGATAGAGTGGAGAAAATATGATAATCATTGGGGAATTGTATTGGTGTGGGTTAGGTATTGGGTCCAGAGCTGAGAATCCTCTATTGAAAAGAGTCTCAATACTTTCTTTGGTTTGATGAATGAAGAAAGATCTTTACTTGGTTCTTACCATACTTCTTCTTTTCCTCCATGAATGAAAACTTAAGATCGATGGGATTAGGAATTCAGCGAAAAGAAAGGAACTTGAACATATTTTATAGACAGAATAAGGACTGCAAAACATAAACAGAGACAAAACTCTCCTAAACACGACTCTAGACCCTTGTCCAATGCCTGTACCGTCCAGAGAAATCCCAAAATATTTCTCCTCCTATTGCTTCCCTAAGGCGACAAATTTATATATGTGACTAGAATTAGTTTAAATCCTATGACTTTAGCTACTGGAAACTAGGATAGTCCAAGACAGAAAACCTAGATATGAAATGTGAATCTATATCTCCATCATAAATGAAGACAGCAAACAGACAAATCAACATAAGGAAAAGGAAGCACTAACCAGCAGACCAGTTTTATCATTTTTGAAAGGAAACCCCTCATTAATCCTAGCATGCAGAGACATTATAACTTTTGGCAGCAATTCTCCCGGCATTCTCGAGTAACTGAAAATGGTAACAAACATTAAAGAACACATGAAAATCTCATAGAAGATCCCAAAGTAGTTGCAAATTTTAACAAGAATATAACTCAGCTAAACGGAGCTTGGTCTACGCACGTATTAATGAAGCTTTCGCAATTCACTTACTCAAAGGTAAATCTTAATCAAGAGCGCCATTAAGGTTTTATGATAACGGATATCAAATACCTTTAAAAGATACAATACTTTTACAATAAAACGAATATCATTATAACAAAATAAAATACAGAAGAACTGTACGTACGGTGTGCTTGATATCAGAAGCAAGAGGATCTTGAACAGCTGAATCAACAATCTATCATGATTATCACTGTGAATCAAATGTAGAATGCCTACAGGCATAAAAATCTTGGTCAACAAGGAATAACTAATAGCCAGACAAGAAGAAAAAGGTTAAGACAATTAATGTCGTTGAATTACCTGTGTGGAGTTGCATTAATATTAGACCAAGGGAATTGGAGAGGGGCATAAATGATCCATATTTGGTAGATTCCTTGTACTCTGCCACTTGAAGGAAAATAGATGAAGGCCCATCCATCATGGTGGCAAGAGCTGACGCAGATGCAATCCTTACCTAGACATTGCAAAATAAACAAAAAAGTATTGCCAGGATTCAGCAGTCATGAAGTTGAGCCAGAAAAACATCTGTAGACATATTTGCTTAACCATAAAAGTTATTGGGAATGTGAAAAATGGAGAACAGCATCGAAATATGTGCCTCAATGACTTGAAAAGGGACAAGAGTAACCACCTTCAAATGAGGATCAAAAAGCAAGCAGGTCATTAGAGTAGCTTCAAACTTCCTGTTAATGATCTCGGAAAGTTAAGGAGACAAGAAAATATTACGATATGGTGACAAAAGATGTTGTAGGTTAATTTTCCACCTTGGCTTGAGTACATCACTTGTTGGAAAGAGAGTCACCCACTGAGTGGTAAATGACTTTGAATCAGCCTGGCAAAGATCCTTTACAGGAGAATAAGAGAATGAATAAGTAACTGTCACTGAAAAGCTAAGTAGAAGATGAAAACCTACTAAGAATAAAACAATGTTACTCACCTGTATGCAAACAATTGCAGCTATTCTAACCTTCGAGCTTTGGGCAAAATAAGAATCCGGTACGGAACCGTCACTGTCACTAAAATCAGAATCTGATGATATAACATCAGAACTACAAGAATCATGAGCAGACAGGCGCCGCCAGTCACAAGACACTGGCTGCTTAGTGTTCAGATCATCCCTCTTGCGCAAGTGGGGTGGCCTATAAGGAGTATTCTTGGCATTCTTACTTACTCCAGAAATCAATGTAGAAAGCTTGACATTCAAATGCTTATCTTTGTGAACAACATCAGAATGAGATAACTGAGGTGGGCCAGTAAGTCCAAAACAGAAAAACATTCTCAATGCCGCTATGAAACTTAAGACCTGCAACATTACAACTTCTGCTTAAACAAAGGAAAAAAGTCTGCATATGCAGGTTAAACAAGAAAATCACTTATCCAAGGCTAAGAGGAGAAGCAAAGGCTATCAAGAACCCACTTACGTGATCAGAAACAGGACATTTGATATTTGTAAGGACCTCGTGCGCACAGCCTAGAAGGCATGAATAAAATCTGCAGAAATGTAAGAAATGAATATTACCTAAGGGGGCCACAAGTCTAATATAAACCAGGAAAAAGAGGAGTAAATTGTAGTCTCCACAAAACCAAAGGCATAGTTGTAAAGCCCTTAAGACGTACCTCCACATAAATCGGTTTTCGACAAGCTGGCCCTTAGATGCTAGGACGTCCATTACTTTCCTTAGAACCTATATGAGGATGCACCAATGAGAAACAAAGCATATTAGAGAAATGAGAGGATCGATCAGTGAAGGGGATGATTACCTCTAGCGAGCATTGGCAGAGGTCAGTAGGAAACAAAGACTCAGATACAGAAAATGCTCTACCAAACATGTCAAAGGCAAGAGCCATGGAATCCCATAAGCTATTCTGTTGAGGCAGTTTCTTTTCCAGATCTAAAGTAGGAGGAGGGTTTTGATTTGAGAAACCATACGATAAAACTAAATCCTGGTGTAATAAAGGAATTATGCGCAGAAGAAACTTGACAAGATGAATGTTCTCCGGATGCATAGCGGCCAAACGTCTGGGAAAAGGAAGAGGAGATTATGAATTAAGGTTAACACAATGTCATTGGATATATGTAATAACGAGAGTGTGAGAAGATAATATAATAACCTTAGAGTCTCGAAGCATTGGAACACAGGTTCGATTCTGGAGAAATATGCAGTGGAATAGGGTGAAGAAGGCATGGGTTGGCGAAGAAGAAACTCCAAGACAGAAGCAAAAGAGTGAAGAAGGAACGGCCATGACGAAGAATTTAGTTGGAAAAGTAGACGAGCACAAACATCGTGAATTAGTTGACAAGTATGACGAGAGACAGGGATCCAGTCAGGACCATCAGCTTTGGAAACCAAATCGAGCAGGAACAAGCAATCGGAAGTGAGCTCGTGCGGTGGGAGGTGAGAGACGGCAGAGACAAGGGAATGGGATTGAGAGAAGAGTAGATCCTGGAGCAACAGAGGAACCGGCGGCGGTGGAGTCGTTACGATTTCGTCCCTCAGAGAAAGAAACGCCGTCCGCCACCTTCCCGCGCTCGACGAAGCTGCCGCCGTGAACATGTTTCGATCTCCGGAGGGAAACTAAGCAACCACAAACGAGGGAGAGAGAGGGAGAGAGAATTGTTCAAGAGAGAGCGAGGTGTTCCTTCCAGTTTTCGCTTAGTCTAAAGAGATTTACATTTTAATTAATTTAGAGTTAGAAATCCCTTGATTGTTAAAATTGTCGCATAAATCGAAACGAATAACTTGTGGATCCTTCTCCACGCACTTCACTAGTTGATGTTCATTGTTGCGTTTTGCCACATCAATGGGTGTCTTCCCTTCTCTTCGGCCCAATCAATAAATATATAGCCAAAGGAATATCTCGTCTTGTCATATCATCATTCAGACATGCAACGAATAAATACATATCGTCTGTGCTCAATCAATCCTCAAAAACAACAACAACTCCAGAAACTTAACTAAAAAGTAAAAACATTTGAGAGACGGAAAAGTAGCAAGAACTTAGAAGCTCCAAGTCTTATATTTTAGGAAACACCTGGTCCGCCCCACCCTTGTTTGTTCCTTCCTCTTCCATTTTCACACTTGCTTCCTCCATTCCCACTGGGTTCACTCCTGTAACCTGCAATCAAAACTAACCACTTTAGAAAACCACCATTCCCGCCCTTTTCAGCCCTGTCCATTGTTGCATTTTACCTTACTGCTTCCACTCTCATCCATCCCCACCTCACAACCTTTGCCACGCTCCATAACTCCTTTCAGTCCATCCTGCACGAACTACACGTCATGATAAATAAATTAATCGCTTCACCTTTCCAAGCAAATTACATGCTCAACTGACATGCTATATATGCTAAATGGAAATCAGAGTCTAGATCAGGAAGAAAAGGAGACGGCTATAGGAATTGAGAGTCAGAGATGATGATTCAGCTCAGCTTGGCTACAAGGTCACATTATCTAATCAGGTCCATCGTTGGAGCATACTAACTAGCCTAGGCTAAATGATTAAACCGTAGCTAAAGATTCGCTACCCTCATGTGAATGTACTCCAGCTCTCAAATTAACTAACTTAATGTCAGAATGAAACTCATTCTGGAATCTTTAGGTTTTGGGTCTCGGGATGAGAAACGTTATCAGAGCACATTGTGCAGTTCTGGAAAATGCTGTAAACCTAGATGAACTAATGACTTTAAATGTTTGTACTAGAAAAAGTGTCTGAGCAATCGAAACAAATAAGAGATAATCCTGTAGTACCTTGTCCTTTGTATCTGGTTCAACAGCTTCTCTTTTTACTCTGCTTGGTATAGGTTTACTGCACAATGCGATCCCAGATTAAGTAAACATTACACCGCTGGCATGAACCCAAAAAAAAAGGGGAGGAAACATATATATTTCATACCGGTCATCATCTACATCCATGTCTGAATCCGGATCCCATCTTTTATCTCCATCTTCTTGGTCTTCATCAACCTATAATTTACATAGAAGGCGTAATTTACAACACTAAGATTGGTAAACAACCAGAGTCATCCATCACGGAATACGTATACATATATAACTGGACGAACCTTATTCACCAGCCCCAGCTGTTTAAATTAGAAAATTCTAATTCTAAATGCAGTTACACTTAAATAACCTCACCAAAAATCCATGAGGAAATGCAAGAAAGAATGGGCAACAGAAATAAAGGAGCCAATACACTTCAAATGATTGCTCAAGTGGCATACCTCGGGAGCCTCTGTATCTGGTGGTCTTTCCTGGAATGGCACACTTGGAGCATGCTGCAGCTTAGAGAGATTGTGGAGAAGGTCATTGCGAATCTCTTCAAGCATCTGACGAGAATTCTTATTTTCCATGTTACTTGGAGCAACGTGAAGTGTATAGTCTGGACCAAAATATTCATAATATTCATGCTCCGGCATCTTATCTTCAACTTCAACACCAAGTGCAACTCCAGTCTGTCATATAAACACTTTATGGAAATAAATTCAAAGACAAAGAGGCACCAGACAAATCTAGTAACTGTTTGTCACAGAGAGCTAACCTTGGTACAGAGACCAAGGAAATTTCAATGCAAAGCTAGAGCAGCATATAATGAACTGAAGAAAGTACCTCGTAGCACCAGCAACGGGCAACATTGCGGATGGTGTAACCACCACCACCCAAGAGCAGTAGGGGAACATTGAACGATCTCATAAACTTTACGCACTCAGCATGACCTTTGATCGAAAGATTAAAGCACCCCAACCTATCACCAGACAATGAATCAGCACCGCACTGCAATACCACAGCCCCTGGTCGGAAAACTTCCATAACTTTCCCCATGATGGGCTTGAATAACAGATGATAGCTCTCATCATCAATTCCATCATCCAGTGGTACATTGAGAGAATAGTACTTTCCGTTACCATAACCTATATCCTGTATGTGACCTGTACCGGGAAAGTAATCACCAAATTTATGGAACGAGACAGTCATAACCCTGTCAGTAGCATAAAATGCCTCCTCCACTCCATCCCCGTGGTGGATATCAATATCGACATAAAGAACACGCTGCAAACAAGAGAGGAAGAGAGGAAGAGTTAGAGATTTAGAAACCACATAAACATCCCTTAAATATATCATAATGGTGCAGGAGACAAACCTCATGCTGCTTAAGGAGCTCTAGGATAGCTAAGACGATATCATTGACGTAACAGAAGCCAGAGGCCTCGCACTTCTTAGCGTGATGGAGACCACCAGCCCAGTTGATGGCAATATCGCAGAGGCCGTGGTTAAGCTTGACAGAGCCACCAACAGAGCCCCCAGCATAGGTCTGGCAAAAGGAATAAAGGCCGTCAAAGACGGGACAGTCTTCACCAACATTGAAGCGCTTGAGTTGGCGAATCTGATCTTGCTGGGTTTCAGGGGTAATGCTGCGGAGAAAGGAGACGTAGTCGTCGGCGTGGAAGCGGCAGAGATCACGGTCGCGGGCAGGGAAGGGCTTGAGAACCTGCATATGCTGAAGGAGACCGTAGTGAGCGAGAAGGGCATGGGTCATGCGGATGCGATGGGGCTTCATGGGGTGACCTTGGCCATAGTAGTAATTGCCGACCTCAGGGTCATAGAAATAACAAACTTTCCTCTTCACACCATCAGGTCCGGACGCCAGCGAATTGCCGCCAGTATCCATTCCCTCTGCACGCCGATCCATAAAAATTAAATTATTAAAAAAATGATAACTAAACCCTAGCCGCGGACTAGCGGAGCCATGGCCGCGTTCACAACAACATTTTATGTTATGAAATAATCAAATCTAATGTGCAGAAGAGAAAGGAAAGCAAGTGAAGATATCAAAAGACGGCGAGGCAAGACAGACGACGGAAAATGGAATAACGCAGACAAGGAAGAGAGTCTGACCTTTTTGTAGGATCAACGGTGTGTTGTAGTCACAGTAGCAGTCAAATGGTCGGAGGGGAAGCTGCGAACTCTCGCTATCTATCTCTCTCTCTCTCTCTGGCTTTCTTCTTCCTTCCTCCTCGCCGTGGAGAAGGGAGCTCTCTGCTTTGCTTTCAGATTTTCACCTCTGACTGAAACTGTAGCCTACTACTCTCCCTTCTCTTCCAACCTTTTAAACCTTTTTTTTTTTTAATGGAAAGGCCCACTTTTTTTTTAAAGGCCCACTCTTTTTTTTAAAGGCCCACTTTTAATCTGTTATGGTTTAAAATAAGGCCCATTAAGTTGGCTCATTCGGGAGACGTGACAGTTTCGCATTGTGTACCATTAACTTTTTAGTGGCAGAGTAACAACAACAAATCAATTGGGAAACAGAGCAAAGAGCAGCAGCACACAAGGCTAACTCGTGCTGCTTTTGTCTCTGTTTAGTACAGTATTTCACAAAACTAAGTAATCCACAAAATCTTGAATGAAAAGGAGATGGAGACATTATGTGCTTGGAAACTAAGACAATATGTATTATATAAATAAAGAATGGGTGTGAAATTAACAAGGAAGCTAGGCTACAAGTAGATGGAGAAAGAGGCAGAAAAAGAAGAAGATAGGGAGATACAAGGTGGAAGAGGAGTGGACATTATTGACATTGCGCGTAGGAGGAGTTGGAGCCAATACAAATGATCTGCAGAGAGGGCACGTGAGATGGCCACGGAGAAGCCAAGGTTCTATGCAATTGATGTGGAAGAGATGAGCGCATCTGGGAAGACGGGTCACCGCATCCTCAGCCTCAAACTCCGCCAGGCATATGGGGCAGCAAATTTCCTCCTCCTTTTCGTTGTCCCCAAACATCACTCCCACTAGAGGGTAACCGTCATCATCATGCGCTTCCGCATCTCCACCATTCTTCTTCAACCTCCCTAAGGGAATGCACACACATGTGTAGAATACTATGGCTGCTGTGCACAAAGGCGACCGCGGAAACAACATTGAAATCATCTTTCTCCAGCTTTCTGCTTCTTTACCTCATTCCTTCCCTCTCTTTTATAGACTAATATCATCTCCGAAATGATCATCGAACCTAGAATTCGGCAGAGTGTAGGGACGGCGCCGACCCCACCTCCCATCTCTTATTATATTCTTTTGTTGTTTTTCTTTAATCAAGTCAGCGATTCTCCCAACTCCAAGAAAACTCTTGGAGAGGTTATGGTCAACATACGAGATGCACATGCTTCCATCTTAAGCATTACCTGATACTTGCATATTATAATAGTAAACAGTACAAGAATCACATGACGCCGAAACAAGCAAAAGATGGCATTGAAATAGTCAAGACTCAAGGGCATGCATTGCATATCCAGTGTATAATTTATATATTAAAAGCAAGGAGTCATTCTTCCACTAAAACAGGCCTTGACTTTGAGTTCACGAATATAATACAGCCGACCAAATCAAGTAAAGATCTCCGAGTGAGTCATAAAAACTATTTTAATTTTGACTCCAAGCATTTTGCTATACCAAATTTGTATTCAATATAGCGCCAGCTTCTCCAGAACACTCAGATCAGCAGTGCCTTTGGAGAATGATGTAGTTTTATGCCTGATGTATGTAACCAATGATACTATTGTTCATGAACTCGGCCAAATTTGCAACAGTCACATACATCATTGGTAATCACTGATAAGCGTCAAGCATAATTTCCTTTTGACACCCCTATGCCGCCAACACAATGTTAGATCTACCACTCTTATCACTCTAGCATCCATTCACTGAACTTGCAATCAATATTAGAATGCATGAAAACAGGTAATGCCCCTTGGAATGAATTGGGACTCTCTGTGGGCTCAATTATGAATTACATCTACAACTACACATTTTAGAGGACAAAGGAAAAAACTTGATACCAGACTCCAAGCAAAAGGGAAAACTCACAAAGAAGAAAGACGCAGATTGATTTTCACTTTCAAGGTTGTTATTACAAGTCAAGAAAACATCTTACTGAGACGGCATACTTAACAGCAGTGCGTAAGTAAATAGGAAAATCACAAGGGTTTGTCGGTTGGTTTCTTCTTGAAAATGGCTTCCCAAGCCAAAGACGGAAATGGAGCCCTTTTATCCATGAACTCCTTGACAGCCTTAACATTAAGAGCAAATCCTTTTTGGTTTAAGCCATCAATAGCGGACTGGGCTTGTTCAACGCCCTTTTCTCTGCACAAGGCATCAACCAATCCAACGAAAGTGGGGACGTTGGGAGAGTGACCAGACTCGAGCATCTCACAACAGAAAGCAACAGCATCGTCAAGCATGTTGCAATTATACAATCCCTGAACCAACACACCATAGCTGAAGGCATTTGGAGCAATCCCATTGGTCTGCATTTTCCTGAAAATCCTCTTAGCGTCTTCAATTTTATGAGCCTTGCAAAAGCCCTCAACGACAGCAGTGTAGATAACGACCTCAGGGATTGTACCCTTGTCACGCATCAATCCGAAAAGCTTCATGGCATCCTGTACAAGCCCATCTTTGCAGAGGCCGTCAAGCATGGCGACCGCGTTAGGGATGAGACCTCCTTCCTTCATTTTCTTGAAGATCTCATCGGAATCTTCAGGCGGCGTTAAGGGGTCCTGTGGGTATTGTTCCGGTTTGGGGGTTTCCTGTGAATCCTGACTGACTCCAAGCTTGAACTGTTCGAGGAAGCCATCGTCAGACAGAGTATTATCAATCTTTCCAAGGTCGTGGGCTTGTCTAGCGGGTGGTTCCCTGTGAGAGTAGGAAGATCTCTCACCTCGCAAGGGTCTGTTGGGTAAGGGCTCTGGAGGGTTCTGCTGCGTTTCTTGACCTTTGTCGCCCGTCGAGAGAAAGCGTGTTGCGGAAATCGACGGCGTCGTAACACGAATCTGCTTCGCCATCTGCCTCGCAAAAACGACGGCTTTCGAGGAGGGCACCATCGTTATCTGCCGCTGATTCGAAAAAGTTAGGGTTCTTTCAAAGAGAAGAAGGGGAGGGGTTTAGTCACGCGACAAGGATTGAGGGATATAACAGTCATTTACTCTATAAGGGTATAAGAAAGAAAGAAAGAAGGTCCTCCTTCCTCCTCTGTGTCTGTCTGTGGATAAGCTTCTCACTTTCAGTTCAATTGAATAGCCGGAAAGGTAAATTCCTCTCTACTTCCTTGCTCAAGCTCGAATCATCTTTTAAGTAAAGCAAAATTGTCTTGCTTTCTTTGTGTTGTAGTGGTATGGAGGTCACAAATACCAGCAGCATCATGTGGTTCTTCAGGGACAAAGGTTTCGATGATCCGACTATCGACAAGATGTTGAGAAAATGCAAGCAGTTGGACAAGGCCCAAAGCGATGTGGCATCTGAAAACTGGGACTACCTGAGGAACATTGTCGGTATCCAAGAGAGAAAACTCCCTTACATCGTCTCCCGATGCCCCAAAATCCTGACTTTACGCCTCGATGAGAGACTCATCCCCATGGTCGAGTGCCTCTCCAGTCTAGGAAGGAATCCTCGGGAAGTTGCATCCGCCATTAACAAGTTTCCTCCAATTCTCTCTCATAGCGTGGAGGAGAAACTCTGCCCTCTTCTTGCTTTCTTTCAAGCGTTGGGTGTGCCTGAGACTCAACTTGGCAAAATGATACTTTTTAACCCAAGGCTTATCAGCTACAGCATCGACACCAAGCTGACAGTGATCGTCAGCTTTCTTGCTAGTCTTGGCCTTGACCAAGATGGGATGATCGGCAAAGTTCTGGTCAAGAACCCATTTCTTATGGGGTATAGTGTTGATAAAAGGTTACGGCCTACCACTGAGTTCTTGAAATCATCCGTTGGTCTGAGTGAGGATGGCATTCAGTCGGTGGTCATGAATTTCCCACAACTTTTGTGCAGAGACGTTTACAAGATTCTGAAACCAAATTATGATTATTTGAGGGAGTGTGGCTTTGGAGATTCCCAGATAGCAACCATGGTGACTGGTTATCCCCAAATTTTGATTAAGAGTATTAAGAATTCACTACAACCTAGGATCAGATTCCTAGTCCAGGTGATGGGAAGAGGCTTGGATGAAGTGGCTTCTTATCCTGAATTCTTTCACCATGGATTGAAGAAGAAGGTAGAATCAAGGTTTAAACTTGTTAAAAAGAACAACATTGTCTGCAGCCTTAGAGAAATGCTGGACTGTAACACAAAGAAATTCCATGAGAAGTTTGGCTTTTCAGAGGTAACTGCAAGCTTCTAGCTTTTATATCTCTCTAGTTTTCCTTCATCAGGCTCTCTCTGTAAGCTATTTTCAGCTTGTGCACCAATTTCTGGCACGAACTTTTTCCTTCACTGATTGTGATATCAATAGAGTGTTTTCCAGATATCATCGATTCCATGATCACTATGCATTCGTTTATCATCGATTCTTTTGAAAATTACCTAATTATGATTGAACCACCACCATGGCCCGATCAAGTGCATATCCATAGAGTGTTTTCAGGTATTCAACTGCAAACAAAACAAGACTCCGTGATTTTCATAGCGGAAAAGTGTGTAGTGTGCAAATAAGATGATTGGTCTAGCGAGGATTAAAGTGGGATGTATATGTTGTTGGATAAGTCATTGTCATTCTTGGCTTGTGATTATTGCTGCAACCGACAAGCAACAGAAGATTCTGCCTAGCCTTACTGCAGAACAGAATATGCAGCAATGCAGTCTAGCAGCTTGTTAAGTATGGGAGGGTAAAAAGCATGGAGAATTACCACTAAATCGTCATAATTGCTTTCACACTTGAGGCTAGCACTTATACCTGTGACTTGTAGCCGACAACTGTTTCTTAATCTTCACATTGCAGAGGAGTAACATGTGAATTTGTGAGCTCATTCATTCCACAAATATGGAGGCCCCTAGTCAAAAAGTCACATTTGATGACAAGAGATGGTTGATCGTTCTCTGCCTCTGAGTAGTATGTACCTGTCATATAAAAATGAAACCCCCTCTGCTCTCTTTTTGATGTAATGAGTACTTGAAATGATGTACTTGGAATTTTGTTTGCTTCAAATGCTCTTTCAAGTGGAGTCCCTTTGTTATTCACGTTTGTAACTGTATTCTATTCTTTCTCTCCTTGGACGGGTGTGTGTAAGGTTTTTGTTATTCGGTTTTTCCGCTGAAAGTTGAATCAAGAAGAAGTCGTCCGATTATTGTTTTTTTTGTTTTTGAAGGCACTCAATAATTGTTTGTTGACGGACCAGAAAAAAACTCAAATAGGCCGCCTTATTTTCATTAAAGGGCCCAAAGTTAAAAGGACTAGGCCTGCCTACCAGTCGCAACATTGGTTATAATAAGCTAACTGCTTTGCCGTTTTAGGTTATAAAAACGGCAGCAGAGTGTAAGCTGAGATAGACAAAACCGTCACCGAGTTCGGTCGGATCCAACAGACTCCGTCCGGTCGCGGAAGCCATTGATTCAGTTACAGTTACAAGTTTAGGGTTTTAAAGTTGTAACCTTTCAAAAATATCTTGTGAATGGCTATAATCGCAGGTAATCATCTCTAGAATTCTGTCGGCAGTTTGTCTTTCCCGTATTGATTGTCATTCGCTTCTGCAATATTAGTGGCAGAATTAGTGGTTCCTTGTGATAGTGGCAGAATTAGTGGTTTAACCGGAAGGAGGAAGTAAGCATGAGCGTGGGAAGCGGGGTCGAGCATGTATTGAACTATCTGAAACGTAGGCAGCTCGAGAATCCTGGTTTCTTATATGCAATTGAGGACGATTGTGGAAATGTTTTCTGGGCGGATCCAACTTGCAGGTTGAATTACACCTACTTTGGTGATACCTTAGTTTTTGACACCACCTACAGGAGGGGTAAGAGGTATCAAGTGCCATTTGCTGCCTTCACCGGGTTCAACCATCATGGGCAGCCTGTTCTTTTTGGTTGTGCTCTCATACTCAACGAGTCCGAGTCCTCCTTTGCGTGGCTTTTCCAGACTTGGCTTCAAGCAATGTCTGCTCCCCCTCCTCCTTCTATCACAGTTGAACCAGATCGCCTGATACAGGTTGCTGTTTCTCGAGTTTTCAGTCAGACCCGCCTTCGTTTCAGCCAGGCCCTCATCTTCAAGGAAACTGAGGAGAAACTTGCTCACGTCTATCAGTCTCATCCTACCTTTGAATCCGAATTTATAAACTGTGTTACTGGGACAGAAACGGCTGCCGAGTTTGAGGCATCTTGGGACTCTATCGTCAGAAGATATTATTTAGAGGATAACGACTGGCTCCAGTCCATTTATAATGCTAGGCAACAATGGGTCCGTGTTTTCATCCGAGACACCTTTTATGGAGAGCTGTCTACAAATGAAGGAAGCAGCTTTTTGAACTCATTCTTCCAAGGGTTTGTGGATGCATCAACTACGATGCAAATGCTCATAAAACAGTATGAGGAAGCAATTGATAGTTGGCGTGAGAAAGAACTGAAAGCAGATTATGAAGCAACTAACTCTACTCCAATTATGAAGACGCCCTCTCCCATGGAAAAGCAAGCTGCTAGCCTGTATACAAGGGTAGCATTCATCAAGTTTCAGGAGGAGTTTGTTGAGACCCTTGCAAATCATGCAAATAGGATTAGTGATTCAGGAACTCGCACTACTTATCGTGTGGCTAAGTTCGGAGAAGTTCACAAAGGTCATACTGTCAGTTTTGACTTTCTTGAGGTGAAAGCTAATTGCAGCTGTCAAATGTTTGAGTATTCAGGGATTATTTGTAGACACATCTTGGCGGTTTTCAGGGCCAAAAATGTTCTTACTCTTCCATCTCGGTATCTACTGAGGCGATGGACCAAAGAAGCAAAGATTAGAGGCACTGAGGAACAACCTGAGTTTTCAAACAGCTGTCAAGAATCTTTAAATGTCTGCTACGACAGTCTACGCCAAGAAGCAACCAAGTATGTCGAGGAAGGTGCCAAATCTATTCAGATCTATAAAGTTGCGATGGATGCTTTGGATGAAGCTGCCAAGAAGGTTGCTGCTGCAAGTAACATTAGAGGAGCAACACCTGGAACTACGCTTCCCAATGGGGAAGCTTACCCGTCCGAGGAAGCTCGAGAAACTGCAAATGCAATTAATCATCCAGGGGTAAGCGAATATTGGTATTTGATAGTTCTTTAATGTCATCTGTTCCTTGGGAATAAGTACTTACTTCAATGCCAGGGTGAAAAAGAGAGGACGATACTTGAACTGACAGCTGAATTGGAGAGGACAGGCCAGCGATGCGAAGTTTATCGAGCAAACCTGCTGTCTATTTTGAGAGATATGGAAGAACAGAAGTTTCAGCTATCTCACAAGGTACAAAATGCTAGACTAAGCTTGAAAGAGTGAGTGCAATCTGCTGGATACATAACATCACAATTCAACCCACGTACTATGGTTGGTAACTTGGTATGGCAGACATTTCTGGGAATAAACTTAATGTTCTTACTCATTAAGAAAATGATTGGGAGTACAATCTATTACAAAGGCTACCTACTGTAAGAACAGGGAAATCCTGAAAATTGGGTCCCTCTTTCAAAAACCCTAAGATATAGTACATGAGCAATATAATTATATATGAGAATAGCAGTTGGAAATTGTTGCTTGTTTCACAGATTATCCTTCAAGCTAATTTTGATGTTCTGCACTTTGATGGACACTTGTAACTTTTGCTCTTCCATTTCTTTCAAAACTGAAAGTAGGTTAGTCCTGTAAGCTTCGCATTTCCTGTTTGCTAATTCCAGCTCGTTTCTGAGCTGATTAATCTTCTTGTCCATTTCGTCCTGCGAAAGTAGAGGAAATACGGTCATGCAATTAGTCAGCACTGGAAACACATAGCAAACAATTGAGGACCTTGCAGATCTATGAGAGATTGTATGGAACAAGGGCTCACAATGGCAAAATGAAGAACATACTCTTAACATGCATATGTGAATCACGAGCTCATTAGTCAAACGCTAACAGAGCAATCAGCATTATGATACCATCAAGGAGACAAAGCAATGATTGTATTGTATGGGGCAAACCAGAACAAACGATACTTTAAATGTATACCCTTTTTACAGTAACAAACTTTATTGTTATTATATCAAAAAGAAACTAATATCGAAAAGAAAATGATCCTCACCTCGGGCTCAGGTTGCACCAGCACTTCTTGCTGACAGTCCTCATTGCAGCACATCCGTTTTCCATCAGTTACAGAACTCGCTTTAAAATGCCTGTTCGCCATAGTTCTTCTAACTTCCTTATTCATTGCCAGGGACACAGTCTTGGCAGCTTCTTGCAAAGCAACTACTGCGACATCACAAGTATACAGAGATTTTCCTGCTTCTTGCACAAAATTAGAAGCTTTGTGGCGTAAGGTGTTGTATCGGACGGTATGAGACTCCAGGTAATTAGCATACGCATGCAAATTATAATCATCAAATATAACACTGCTTTTGGCATTTCTGGTCCATCTTTTTAGGATGTAGTAAGGTGGAAGTGTAAGGAGATTGGTGACCCGGAAGACTGCCAATATATGTCTGCAAATGATGCCAGAGAACTCAAACATCTGGCAACTGCAATTTGCTCTCATCTCCAAAACGTTAAACTTAACAAAATGAGCCTTGAGAGCCTCTCCATATTTCGCAACCTGGTAAGTAACAAGATCCCCATCATCGTCAGCTTTGGATGCCATGAAAGTCAGGGTTCCAACTAGTTCTTCCTGAAATCTCATAAACAACTTCCTTGTGTAAAGTTCAGACGCCTGCTTCTCCATTGGAGATGGAGTCTTCAGAACAGGAGGTGAGTTCATTGTATCATAATCTGCTTTAACTTCTTTCTCGAGACGACTCTCCAAAGCTTTTTCATACAGCTTAAAGAACTGGCTTAGATTGGTTGAAGCGTTTATATAACCATCAAAATATGAATTGATACTGTCACTACGCTGAGTTAAGGACATTTCGGCAAAAAAGGTATCACGGAAATATACTGGGACCCACTGCCGGCGATCGGAGTATATTGCTTGTAGCCACTCATGATCTCTTAGCTCATACTTGTCAAGAAGTGAAAACCAGCATGACTCAAAATCCTCAACCGACTCTGTCATATTGACACATTTGTGGAAATCTGACTCAAAAGAAGGGTGCTTGAGGAAGACATGGGACAACTTCTCCTGACATTTCTTGAAAATATGCCATTTGCAAAAGCGATGGCGGGCACCAGGAAAAACCTGCATGATGGCTGCGCGTATAACAGCATCATGATCGGTGGTGATTGAGACAGGAGGGTGGGTGGACATTGCGGCTAGCCACGTATTGAAAAGCCATAGAAATGAAGCCTCAGTCTCATTGATGATAAAGGCACAGCCGAAAAGAATGGGTTGGCCATGGTGATTTACACCAGTGAAGGGTGCGAAAGGCAAACGGTACCTGTTGGACCTGTAGGTTGTATCAAATGTGACAGTATCCCCAAAGTAAGTGAAATCCATTCTAGCTTTAGGATCAGCCCAGAAGACATTACCCACAGACTGATTGTCGCTTCCCTGAACAGCATAAAAGAAGTTTGGGTTGTCAGCATTCATCTGCCTCAAGTAGTCAAGAAGAAGCTGAATCTCTCCTTCTATGCTCTTCTGGCGGTTGTTCCTCATATAATTCCTACAGTCCACTTCGGTGAAACCAACCTTGCTGATGCCACCATACTCTTTGATGAGGGCGGACATAATTCTGCGGGGACCCATTCCTGCAGCTTGAAGTGTGTCAATCAAGGTCTTGGCTGGGCCAGAGATTTGCCTGTGGGAACGCAGACAGTGAACTTGGTCAGGAGGAACAAGCTCATGGTTGTGGTCTTTGACAAAGCCAGAGACAAGCCATTTACCGGAATCCTGCATCTTAACAGAGAGGGAGGCTTTGCAACCGACTCTAGTGATGGTCCGGGGACGCTTGATCTCCCTGTCCTTGGTGCGCTTTTCATTCATATTTCTGAAACCTTCTTTGGCACAGACAAATTGCCGCTGGATGATAGCTCCATCACGGCGGGAGCGGCGGGAGGAACTGACACGGGTACTAAAGCCAATGCGACGGGCATAGGAGTTGTAGAAAGCCTTGGCAGCTTCTTCGGACTCGAATTCAAGACCATCAAAAGGCTCGAGATCGAGGAGATCACAAGGCTCCTCCTGATTGGGAAAGTAATTTCCAGAATTGCCAACAAGACCATTACCGCAAGGCATAATTGGGCTGTCGAGCATATCATCGTCGTCGAGAGCATGGTGCTCAATATCAATAGCGTCGTCGTCAACATCTCCCCCACTACTAACTCCTACACCAATATCGAAGTCGAGCACTTCATTATCCATCATATCCTCCTGTCTTCAGGGAAGAATTTATCTATCTATTGTCCACAGGAAGAAATAGCTAGCTACTGTAGATAGAACCACTTACAGTCGTGACTTGATTTCAAGTCGGAGATTGAGATTGGGAGGCAGCGAAGAAGAGGGAATGCGTGACTAGGGTTCGTGCGGTGAGGAAATCAGAGAGAGGGGAACTTGTAATAGATTGTGTGATAATAACAACCGAAGAAGAAGAGGAAGATGAGAGACGACGGAGGAGGGAGACTGGAGAGAGAGTTGTCGTCGTCGGACACGGAGGAGGAAGAGAGACGGTGCTTCTTTTTTTTTTTTTTGGTAAACAGAGACGGTGCTTCTAATATTTCCCTTTTTCTTCTTCTTTTTTTTTTTCTTTTAAGAAAGGCCCATTCCTTCATTTTATTATTCTTTTTTTTTTTGTCATCTTCATTTTATTATTCTGTTAGGCCCATTTCTTCATTTTATTATTCTATTAGGCCCATTCCTACATTTTATTATTCTATTAGGCCCATTCCTTCATTTTATTATTCTATTAGGCCCATTCCTACATTTATTCTATAATGCCCATTCCTTCTTCATTTACTTTATAAGGCCCAACTTCTTTTACGCTTTCCGTATGGTTGGTTGCGAGTGGAGGAGAGCAAAAAGTAAATTTGCAAACGAGAAATGATTGATATACAAAGGCTGATTTATACAGTCATGACATCTCAATCCAGATTATATGTAGTTATCTGAAAATTTACTACCAGAAGAAACAAAAACAAATAAAAAAAAAAAAGGAAACAAAGATAGTATGCGTATTAATTTCTTGTGATTAGTCTACAAAACTCTCAAGTCGCCCTATATGAATGCTTTTTACGGGAATTGAAAACCACCGCCTCCAACACCCTCAGCAGCAGCAGCAGGTCCGGTGTTTGGGTTTATGGCCGTCCACAGTAGAGAGATGGTGATGGCAATCAGACCTGCCCACACAAAAACTATCGTTGGAGTTTTGCCTCTTCGTCCCATCAATCCTTTTGCAAATGGATACAAATGCGCCAACACCCAGAAGCTGAAAAATGCTCCTCCTATTAGCTTGCTCCATTGTGGCACCGCTTGGTATATCGTCCTTATGAACGCCACCACAATCGCTATTATGTTCACCATTGCTATCACTATAGGCGGTATCATCAGCGACGACCATTTCACTATGTACAAATCTGCGTATATGTCATCATTGTCATCTCCCCCTGACTTGGACGTCAAGGTAAAGGAGATCTCGATCCCTGCAATCACTTTGAGGATTCCTTGGACCACTGCGTAAAGGTGAGAGCTTGTTCCTGAGATGAGCCACCACTGTTCGTTTCTCCACCATTCTTCGAGCCCAATGCCAGACCACTTGACCTCCAAAACCGCCAAGCCAATCAAACAAATGGTGATTATAAGAAGGTAGACTAAGAAGGAGATACTGAGCGTCCGCACGATGAACTGTCCAGAGAAAAGAGAGAATGCCGGAAGAAAACAATAGAGGATGAGAAACAGAGACGTGAAAGGGTATATCCCAACATTGAGGTATGCGAGACGTTGGAGGAACTTGAGACGTTTGGAGGCGAGAATGGCGTTGTTTCTAGAGAAGAAGATCTCAACAGACCCAGTGGCCCACCGCAACACCTGGTGAAGACGATCCGTGAGATTAATGGGAGCAGAGCCTCGAAAAGAATCTCGCTTAGTGATGCAGTAAACAGAGCGCCACCCACGATTATGCATGCGGTATCCTGTGACCACGTCCTCTGTCACCGACCCATAAATCCATCCAACTCTATCTCCCCATTCCGTTTTATCCTCATACCAACAAGAGATTACAGAAACAGACTCTGCGACAGTGGTAGCATCAAGTGGGTCACGAGGGACTCTAAGGGCTCCGGGAGGACGACCGTACTTGACAGCCGGGTGGTCTGCCAATGGACGACCTTGGAACTCTGCAATAGGAATTGACTCAGCTAGGAGTGTGGAGTTTCCAAAGCGCTTAGGGAGTTGTGTGACATCAAGGTCCGGGTCAAAGTCACTGGTGGTTAGAGCCTCTGTTTCTGATTCCTTCTTCTCAAGAAGCTTGTCAGGGTTGGGTGGATCAAAACCGTAGAGAGCAAAGCGCCTAAACATAGTACCTGTTCCAACATAAACTGGTCCCTGCAAAAAGATATTCAACTGTTACAAACCAAAGAATATATCTATACTTGGTTTGCATTGCAATAAAAAAAAAAAAAGTGTATACAGTACCTGGACACCGTCGAGAGCACGCATATTACCGTCAAAGAAAACAGTGTTATTGTTAGCATATCTATCAGAAGGATCGATGCCTTCAAATCTTTGCGGAAACTGAATGTAGCAAATGTCTTCACCACCTCTGTCCATCATAAAACACATCCCTTCTCGGATGGCCTTACAGTTATAGATGTAATGATCACAATCAAGATTAAGGATAAAAGGTCCATTTGAGAGAATAGCAGAGGCACGAACAAGTGCATTCATGGCTCCAGCTTTCTTGTTGTGATCATAGCCCGGTCGCTTCTCACGTGACACATAGACAAACATGGGTAAACGAGTGTCCGTGTCTGAAAAGTCAATGATTTTATCGTCGCTATTGCCAATTAATGGATCGCTGCTAGGTGGTTTCAACATCACCTGGAGAATCCCAGCATGATCACCTTTGGAATGCTCTCGAGTAGAGGCTGCCCAAGTTCCTGGCCAGTGGGTGCCATCGGCCATCCACGTGGCTTTGGGGACTTTAACAGGTTCTGTTGGATCACCTCCGCTCTCCCTCATCTGTTTTAGTGCTTTCATTTCCTCCCTTGCATTAAAAGCATCTGACCTCCTCCGTATTGAGTCAGGGAGGCCGTTGATGCGAACCTTGAATTCATCATACTCCCTCTTAATCTTCCTTCTGTCCTTGACAAAATCAATTCTGCTCTTATTTTTTGTTGGATCTATCTTCAAACTGAAATACGTGTCTGGATTTCGGGGCTCAATGTTATGTTTGCGACAAAAAGGTACCCAAAGATCCGCAAAGCTAGCAGCTTCTGCCATAGCTTCAAAGGATAGAAGAGCTCCTCCATCATCCGAAAGATAGCATGACACCTTCTCCACCGGATAATCAACGGCCAATATGGACAGAATAGTGTTGGCGGTGACAAGGGGTGGCTCTTTCTCTGGATCTGCCGTTGACACAAAAAGGTCAATACCTGGAAGATCAGACCTCCCTGTGGGGTTGGAGGGAGAAGGCATGTCAAATTTGTCACGAAGAACTTCCAGGTCAGTGGACCGGTTTATTGGACACAACTTAGGGATCTGGTCTAGAATCCATGAAAATCCAAACCAAAGCTCGCATATTATAGACATCAGCCATAACCATACCGCGTCCTCGTTAGGATTTCGGATCCTCCAAGTTAGAAAAAAACATAGCACGACAAAACGAATGGCGATTAATAATCTGTACGGACTTATGATGGCGGCTGGGATTGGGATTCGTCGGCTCAGTGGCCGCCATGGCTTGTCGGCTGTTTCCACCATGCCGCCTCTCATTCCTTCATCCATATCATCGCCATACATTTCGTCTTGAGGCCAATACGCATTACCGTAACCATATGTGCCTTGCGTCTCGAATAACCATCGGTTGTGATCAAATTCACCGTTTTGGTTCCTCTTCATCATAGACATGTTGTTGTTGTTGCCACGTTGATCTTTCCCTGGAGCTGGTAAGGGGAGAGCACCACTAGATAAGTCAGGCGTATCGTCATCTAGGTCCCCGATTTTGTATTGTTCCTTGCATCCTGGACAAAGACCTGTCTCTTTCTGGGCGTCCATGAAGCAATCCCTACAGATCTTGAACCTAGACAATCACCGTGTTTGTTGGTTGGTTAGAAACCTCGTTTTCTTGAGCAATAAGTAAAAGATATCAATTAATGTTTATTAATACCGGCATTCACATGGCATCACGTCCTTTCCTCTCTCGTCTTTCATGACTTTTCCGTCGCAAGCAGGCATGGCACACGAGGAGCCTTTAGCGCCAGCCATCTGAGGGTGTGTGACATCTGAATCGATGACTTTGTCCATAAGATGTGCACGTGTTACACTGTTGAAACCACCAGTAAATAAAGAATTGGACACGTATTGCTCTTCGGCTTTGGTGGCCATGGGCTGATTGTCCGGCGTCGGAGGTATGTGCACCGTATAGTTAGAATAATCCCCAGAGAGCTCGCCTGATAATTCAATATTATCTCGAGATAAACTCACATATCGTCCGCTAGATGTTCGTCTTGCAAATTTGACGGTTTGGCCGCTACCGGAATTGTTACGGACCTTTTTAGAAGTTTGAGAGGGTGTGGACGCCATTGTGAAGCCAAACAAAGGAGCTTGGTTTCTGCGTGAATCAATGTGATCATGCAGTATAAAGATGAAACGTGAGTTTTTTTTACCTTCTTGTTGGTTTTGGGAAAACAAAGAGAAAGATAAGGAGGAGAGGATTATCAGGACATAAAATGATAAAACTGTTTATGCCATGGATCTCTATTTTTGGGCTTCTTTGTATCGTGTATTAACCTAGCTATTTTTGTAAGCTCAAGGGTTTTGTTGTTTATTCTATTTTGGGATTTTAACGTTTTCTTTCTTTCTTTTTATTTAACTCAATGATTTTATTGTGGAAACCCATTCTTCGCTCATCCAAGGCGATGGAAAATTTTCGTACTTTTTATATATTTTTATTAAACTATTAACTAGAGAAATGATCCTTATCGTTTGAAATATATATATATTTTTTGGCAACTATTGTCGTTACTATTTAAAATGTGGATCACTACATAATTTGATATTGAATAAGATTAGATATCCTTAATTCTGTCAATACACAAACATTTTGAGAAGCTATATCTAGTATATATATATATATATATAAATTTTTCGGGAAAATATCTAAATTTAGATAATTGGACTTATCTTCAAACCCGATGATCTTATTGTGAATTAATCATATACCGGAATTAATAAAGAATGATGTTAATTGGTATTAATTGTACTGTTATACTTTAAAATTTGAAGAACTTAACCCAATTAGACTAGTTATATGAACCGACGTAGTATATATATCAAGTACAATTAAAGGAGCTAATGGTTAAATGGCAGCTTTCTTATAATAGTTTTGGAAATTTTATTAAGTAAAAGCTATATAAACTAAGAATGGTGCATGATTTAATTGAGATAAAGAATAATAGCTAAATGGATGGAGTTAGTTTTTGTATAAACATACAAACATTGTTTAGCTACACAATTTACTGATAGTACATGGTACCAATAGTGAAATGAAGCATCAAAAATATACGTGCGAGACGTAGGTTCAAAGGGGTTATGTTTCGGGACTAGAGAGACGTGTATAAAATTGTTGGACGTCTGTTTCAGAGCACACGAGAATATCTGAACGTCCACAAACGCAAATGTTAAGGTCTAGCTAGCTAAGCTTATGCATGTAAAATTGGCGGTAGAAAATCACGATAACATATCTCGTAGGCCTGAAGCACCATCCAAAACTCGTATGATGATCCCATGAAACTTTGAACCATTAAATTACATTTTAACACATCAAGAAAATGAGAGAGATGCTGTCTAGTGAGGTTGAACAGACAATATTGGGAAGAATACTGAAGAGAAGCTGTCTAGTGAGGTTGAATAGATAAAAGTATAACGTACTAGTGTTTTTTTTTTCTGTTATTGATAGTTTCATGTAATAGTACTGTTGATGGATTTTGATAACGTTCGTTACAATATGTTCATGGATTTCCTAGGTTTCTGAATATACTTTCTTGGTTTTGGAAACGCGTTGGTAAGGAATCAAGGCCAACAATTTTGGTGACATTAATTCGTGTATATAACATCTTGGTAACGATGTTAAAAACCACTTAATTTTTTTTTAACTCTGAAACGGTGAATTTAAACGCTAACATCATGTTAAATTGATTAATGAAATAGTTGGAGATCTTTTTATTTTGTAATCGAATAGTAGGAGATTTAAATATTTGTTTTTCCCTATGGGTTATTAAACAAATACAAAACGCTGAAAGGTAAGAAAATGAAGAAACGCAGCGTTTCGTTTTGACAAGGTCCCCGGTTCTGGGTTGGCCTTTTATCATTTTGAATTGCCGTGAAAAGTCGAATGTGTGTTAGATCCGTCGGTGATGTCGTCGTCGCAGAACCTTGGTGGCGCCACGAGATGCGGCCGGGTGATTGGGCCATCTTTGGACAAGATCATCAAAAATGCCGCCTGGCGCAAACACACCTTCCTTGTTTCCGCCTGTAAGTCTGTCCTCGACAAGCTCGAGATTCTCTCCGATTCTCCCGATCCTTCGTCGCCTCTCTTCGGTCTCACCACTTCCGATTCAGATGCCGTCCTTCAGCCACTTCTTCTCTCTCTTGATACCGGCTACGCCAAGGTTATTGAGCCTGCTCTCGATTGCTCTTTCAAGCTCTTCTCTCTCTCCCTTCTCCGGGGCGAGGTCTGCTCCTCTTCCCCTGATTCTCTTCTCTACAAGCTCATCCATGCGATCTGCAAGGTTTGCGGCATCGGCGAGGAGTCTGTTGAGCTGGCGGTCCTTCGTGTCCTCCTCGCCGCCGTCAGATCTCCTCGCATCCTAATCCGTGGCGATTGTTTGCTCCATCTAGTCAGGACCTGCTACAATGTGTATCTCGGCGGATTCAACGGGACCAACCAGATCTGCGCTAAATCTGTGTTGGCTCAGATCATGCTCATCGTCTTCACCAGATCCGAGGCCAATTCTATGGATGTATCACTCAAAACGGTTATTGTCAACGACTTGCTTGCCATCACGGATAAGAATGTCAACGAAGGGAACTCTGTTCATATTTGTCAGGGATTCATTAACGACGTTATTACGGCCGGGGAAGCAGCTCCTCCTCCGGATTTCATGCTAGTCTTGCAGGGCCAATCACCAGACGAAGGTGCTTCTTCAACTGAGGATGTGGGCACAAGCAAGATCATGGAAGACGGTTTCCTTCTCTTCAAAAACCTCTGTAAGTTGTCTATGAAGTTCTCGTCACAAGAGAACACCGACGATCAGATTCTTGTGAGAGGCAAGACTTTGTCCCTCGAGTTGCTCAAAGTCATCATTGATAACGGCGGCCCAATTTGGCTCTCTGACGAAAGGCAAGTTTTATCTTTCATTTCACAGGTTACATTCCCTGTACAATGCTCGTCTCTCAGTATTAATGAACTCCAAGAGCTTACTCTCCCTCCCAAAAATATGCAGGTTTCTAAATGCCATCAAGCAATATCTCTGCCTGTCTCTATTAAAGAATAGCGCACTCTCGGTTATGTCTATTTTTCAACTTCAATGTGCTATCTTCACTACCTTACTACGGAAATATAGATCGGGTATGAAATCAGAAGTAGGTATATTCTTCCCGATGCTTGTCCTCCGGGTCCTTGAAAATGTTCTCCAGCCAAGTTTCGTGCAGAAAATGACCGTGCTCAGCTTACTCGAGAACATTTGCCACGACCCAAACCTAATCATTGACATATTTGTGAACTTTGACTGCGATGTGGAGTCTCCGAACATCTTCGAAAGGTATTGGCAATTTCTTATTTTATATCTCCCCAAGATTGTTTTTGGTTTCTTTTTCCGGAATAGCATTCCAGATGTTGTCAGATTACAATTTTTAGCTGAAACTTTTAGAGACTGATCAGGCCACCAGGGTAGCCTACGCGGTTCATATTTGTATTCCATTAGTGGTATTGTACTTTAGTAAAATGTATTAAAGCTCTTATAATTCTATCAGATGTTTGCAGGATTGTCAACGGTCTTCTGAAAACTGCTCTAGGGCCTCCTCCTGGTTCATCAACAATATTGTCCCCAGTCCAGGATATTACTTTTCGGCACGAATCTGTGAAGTGCTTGGTTAGCATTATTAAGGCAATGGGAACATGGATGGACCAACAATTGAGCGCGGGAGAATCACTTCTGCCTAAGAGCTTAGAAAATGAAGCACCTGCAAACAATCATTCAAACTCAAATGAAGAAGACGGGACAACTACAGATCATGACTTTCACCCAGATTTGAGTTCAGAGTCATCAGACGCTGCAACTCTTGAACAAAGGAGGGCATACAAAATTGAACGCCAGGTCTTATGTTATTTCTTTTTTATGAAATGTGAATTTCTATTACAAAATGGAACATTGTTATTTACATATGCTCTGGGGCAAGGAGCTTCTATGACCAAAAAATATTAAAAAGTCATAGCTACTACAACATACTAAGTAATTTAGAAGATACTTAGGATAAATTAGACACGGGAGAACCATTGAGCGAGCAGACGTCGACATCCTTTGCGGTAACGCGAGCTAGGAGAGTGTATATTATGCTCCGGGTCATATATTGCATCATAAAAGAAAAAATATTGTCCGTCCCATTCGGTGATATTAGTAGAATTGTTTTTCTCTTCGGTGATGTTAGTTCCCTTTATCATCTTTCTTGGTTTATATGCAGAAAGGCGTCACTCTATTCAATAGAAAGCCGTCAAAGGGTATTGAGTTTCTTATCAGCTCTAAAAAGGTTGGCAACTCCCCGGATGAGGTGGTGTCGTTCCTGAGGAATACCACAGGCTTGAATGCAACCATGATTGGTGATTATTTGGGTGAAAGAGAGGAGTTTCCAATGAAAGTTATGCATGCCTATGTGGACTCGTTTGATTTCAAGGAGATGAATTTTGGTGAGGCAATTAGGTTTTTCTTAAGGGGCTTCAGGCTTCCTGGGGAAGCACAGAAAATTGACCGCATAATGGAAAAGTTTGCTGAACGCTTTTGCAAATGCAATCCAAATTCATTCAGCAGTGCTGACACAGCATATGTTCTTGCGTACTCTGTAATAATGCTTAACACTGATGCCCACAATATCATGGTTAAAGAGAAGGTTTGTCTTCATGGCTGTCACAATTTATTCAATCCATGACTAGTTAGCTTTTGGACTGCATCTGCATGTATTAACTTTTCTGGCTATTTCTGTGCTCAGAAAATTGCTTTTGAAATATTCTATATTGGAGATGCTTTTTGGTGTAAGGTATTTACAGTGTATTTTACGTCTGCTTTCTGGTTTATGACAATCAGATGACCAAGGCTGATTTTATCAGAAATAACCGAGGCATTGATGATGGCAAAGATCTCCCAGAAGAGTATCTTGGTGCGCTTTATGACCAAGTTGTCATAAATGAAATAAAGATGAGTTCTGATTCTTCTGCCCCAGAAAGCAGGCAGTCCAATGGCCTGAATAAACTACTGGGTCTGGACGGTATACTCAATCTGGTTTATTGGACACAGACAGAAGAAAAAGCGGTGGGGGCTAATGGTCTTCTTATAAAGCATATTCAAGAAAAGTTCAGGTCGAAGTCTGGAAAATCAGAGTAAGCTCATTTACCTTACTTAGGTCTAGTGTGAACAGATGCTTAGGCTCTTAATTCTTTAGAGAGTGGCAGGAGACATATCACTAGGTAGTAGTGATTAGAAAATGGTGTTCTAATGCAGGATTTTATCGACTGATTGTTCGTAGTATGATGCTGCTGAGCGATACCTGCAACATTAGCGAACTAAGATGAAACCAGCGTTTCCTTAAACGTTAATAAACCCTACTTACCCTTTAATTTACCTTGTTCATTGTTTGTCTCTGAAATTATGTATTCCTGAGAAACTATCTTCTTTAAAAGATTAAGATTGACATATACCATGGACGAATGTTAGGATCTGGAGTCATATCATTGATCTCATAAACTGGATTCTTTTTTTGGTCTTGTAGATCAGCTTACCATGTAGTCACAGACGTTGCAATATTGCGTTTTATGGTTGAAGTTTCCTGGGGACCAATGCTTGCCGCATTCAGCGTGACACTTGATCAGAGTGATGACAGGCTTGCTGCAGTTGAATGCTTACGAGGCTTTCGATATGCAGTTCATGTGACAGCAGTTATGGGTATGCAAACGCAAAGAGATGCATTTGTCACTTCCATGGCCAAGTTCACAAATCTCCATTGCGCAGGAGATATGAAGCAAAAGAATGTCGATGCTGTTAAAGTAAGTTTCTTCTTATTAAAATCGTTGTTCAGAATGAAGTTGTTCCTCTCTGTATTTTCTTTCCTCGCATCTGGTTTTCAATGTATAAGAACAGAGAGATGAAGCATTCTGAGGCATACTGACCTAAATATATCACGTGTTTCAATTTTCTATTTCCACAGCTTTTAGTGTCTTTCTTTAGTATAAAGCTTCTCCCTCGCTTGATGGAGAGAAGCATGTGTGATTCACCTCTTCATAACTTCATTATTGCTTCTTATGTTATTCAGGCCATCATATCAATTGCCATTGAAGATGGTAATCACTTGCAAGATGCTTGGGAGCACATTTTGACTTGTCTTTCAAGAATAGAGCATTTGCAATTATTGGGTGAGGGTGCTCCAAGTGATGCATCTTATTTTGCTTCATCCGAGACCGAAGAGAAGAAAGCCTTGGGTTTTCCTAACTTGAAGAAAAAAGGAGCCCTCCAGAATCCGGTGATGATGGCTGTGGTTCGAGGGGGCTCATATGATAGCAGCGCAGTTGGACCAAATATGCCGGGGCTTGTGAAGCAGGACCAAATCAATAACTTCATTGCAAACTTGAATTTGCTTGACCAGATCGGGAGTTTTCAGTTGAATAATGTATATGCTCATAGCCAGCGGTTGAAGACTGAAGCCATAGTAGCATTTGTTAAAGCTCTATGCAAAGTCTCTATGTCAGAACTGCAGTCTCCTACGGATCCTCGAGTGTTTAGCCTCACAAAATTAGTTGAGATCGCGTAAGAATTTCTTCTTTTGGCACTCTCTTTAGAACACATAGAATGAGAAATGGACATATTGAATACATCTCATCTTGGCTACTAAATTGGATATCGAGTGAGCACCATGATAGTCTAATAATACGTCAACTTATTATTTACATATCTCTTTTCTTGCTGTACAGCCACTACAACATGAACCGCATCAGGCTAGTCTGGTCTCGCATATGGAGCATCCTGTCAGATTTTTTTGTATCTGTTGGCTTGTCAGAGAATCTTTCTGTTGCAATATTCGTTATGGACTCACTACGACAACTGTCTATGAAGTTCTTGGAACGTGAGGAGCTGGCAAATTATAACTTTCAGAATGAATTTCTTCGACCATTTGTCATTGTTATGCAAAAAAGCAGTTCTGCTGAAATAAGAGAACTAATAGTTCGGTGCATTTCTCAAATGGTACTCAGCCGTGTCAGTAATGTGAAATCAGGGTGGAAAAGTGTTTTCAAGGTACATAATGTTTTCCTAGCATCTGCCTGTTTGTGAATATACAGTATATGATTAAGGTTTAAGAGGAAAAACATTCAACCCAGAATACTATGCTGAGTAGTTTATCTGCTCGTTTTTTTTTTAAGACGCGCTCTAGTGGTCGACATGTTTTACTGAGTGGCCAGTTTCTCCTTTCAGGTTTTCACAACTGCAGCAGCTGATGAAAGGAAGAACATTGTATTGTTGGCCTTTGAGACAATGGAAAAAATTGTCCGAGAGTACTTTTCATACATCACAGAGACGGAGGCAACAACCTTTACTGATTGTGTTAGATGCCTCATAACTTTCACAAACAGCACGTTTACCAGCGATGTTAGCCTGAACGCTATCGCGTTTCTACGATTTTGTGCCCTAAAACTTGCAGACGGAGGCCTTGTGTGGAATGAGAAGGGTAGGTCCAGCAGTCCCGGTACTCCAGTAACAGATGACCATGCACCAAATACCCAAAATTTTATGGATGCAGATGAGAATATTTCATATTGGGTTCCTTTGCTCACAGGTAATCTATTTTTAATAATACTTCTATTTAAATGCGTCAACAAATTATGAGCATCTAACATTTTTCGAATTCACATATGCCATTGCTAATATGTCCAACTTGGTTGAATTTACATTCTAATCAAAATTCTGTTATATTCATTACAGGATTGTCTAAGCTAACTTCTGATTCCAGATCAGCAATCCGTAAAAGCTCCTTGGAAGTGCTCTTTAATATTTTAAAGGATCATGGCCATATTTTTTCACGAACATTCTGGATCGGCGTTTTCAGTTCTGTTATTTATCCTATATTTAACAGTGTGTGGGGCGAGAATGATCTGCTTTCTAAAGATGAACACAGTTCATTTCCATCTACATTTTCTCCACATCCTAGTGAAGTTTCTTGGGATGCTGAGACTTCAGCTATGGCGGCACAGTCTCTGGTAGACCTATTTGTCAGCTTTTTTACTGTGATAAGGTCTCAACTTTCAAGTGTAGTATCCTTACTTGCTGGTCTTATAAGAAGTCCAGCTCAGGGTCCTACAGTAGCTGGAGTTGGCGCGTTGTTGCGGTTGGCAGACGAATTAGGTGACAGGTTCTCGGAAGATGAGTGGAAGGAGATTTTTTTGGCTGTGAAAGAAGCTGCTTCATTGACATTGTCTAGTTTCATGAAAACACTGAGAACCATGGATGACATTCCAGATGAGGAAACATTGTCTGATCAGGACTTTAGTAATGAAGATGACGTCGACGAGGACAGCCTGCAAACTATGTCTTATGTTGTTGCAAGAACAAAGAGTCACATAGCCGTCCAGTTGCAAGTTGTTCAGGTATGTACAAAATGTTATACGATGCAATTAGATGCCAAGTTGTCTAATAGCAACAAATGTGAAGAATGAAAATGTTAAAAAAAACATTGAAAAGCCATACAAAAATGAATCTGGAAATGTTGTAGGCTTTAATTTTGCCTTGCTCCAGAATAATGATCTAACGCCATCTCTCACTACTCTATTTTCTCCTGTTTTCAGGTAGTGACGGATCTCTACCGAATCCATCAGCAGTCATTGTTGGCATCGCACGTCACTGTTATACTGGAGATACTCTCATCAATCTCATCACATGCACACCAGCTAAATTCTGATTTGATATTGCAGAAGAAAGTGAGGAGAGCGTGCTCTATCCTGGAGCTCTCTGAACCTCCCATGCTTCATTTCGAAAATGACACGCATCAGAACTACCTGGACATTCTTCAAGCCATACTGACATACAATCCAGGAGTGTCCTTGGAGCTAAACATAGAGGCTCAGCTGATGACAGTGTGTGTGCAATTACTGAAGATATACCTGAAATGCACTTTGTTTCAGGGTGAGGAGTTGGAAGAAACCAGGCAGCCTAAAAACTGGATTCTACCCATGGGAGCAGCATCGAAGGAAGAAGCAGCAGCGAGATCTCCCCTAGTGGTTGCAGTGCTGAAGGCTCTGAGGGGACTGAAAAGAGATTCATTCAAGAGGTATGCACCAAATTTCTTCCCATTGTTGGTGGAGCTTGTGCGGAGCGAGCACAGCTCTTCACAAGTCCCACAAGTCTTAAGCACAGTGTTCCATACATGTATGGGTGCAATGATCGATGAATAGAATAGGGTGGTTATAAGTGCGCTGAATTTTGACATTCGACGGAGATGCGAGATTTACAGGTTTTGTGCGGTTGATTGCTAGTGCTGATATAAAGTAATTGATTACTGTTTGTAGAAACTAAGAAAAGTATGGTGAGATTAGGAGGGTCATTGCATTTTGTCTGCAATGCCTATTTTCTTCCTTCCAATTATGATTGTAAATGCAAAATTCTTGAGCATAATACACACACACAGGTAAAATGAGGTCCAAGTAAGGATTGTGAAGGATTGATTATATAAAAAGAAAACTAAAAGAGAAGACAAGATGAGCCACTCGTGGAAAGTCATTTATACCTTGAAACGAAGTGATGATATCTAATGTCTCCAAAGTCATAATAAAGCCACCGAAAGTGAATCATGACTTGAAAACGATAAAGGAGGAGTCAGGAGTGGAACTGCTTTCCTTGGTATGTCATTCCGAAGCGCCAATATGGAGGAGCCACATCATAAGAGGCAATGGTTTTGCCGCCTTTGAGAGTAACCTCGAAAGAGAGAGACTGTCCAATGAGGTCAAGAGAGGAGTGCCAATTCTGTCCCCAGTTTCTGGCCATTGGGATCCAAGCCGTTGTATGGCCCTTCACTTTCACTCCAACCACTTCCCCGTCGAGGCCCACATTGCTTATCAACACCTGGAAGAAGTGGGAGCTCCCGCTCAAGCTGAATCTCAACCCGCCTCTCCGCCCACACTTGACCCTCCTGTACTGTACAGGTATCATCTCGGCTCTGGTTTCTGCGATCCCTGTGAAAGCGGCATGAGATAGTTCCAAGTGCTCCTTTGGGAAGTTGCACCAACCTCCGTAATCGGAGGAGAGTCCCGAATTGGGAGGACAGAAATCGGTGGCGGTGACCACCACGGAGGGGCTGCCTTGAAGGCACCACCGGATGTGGTTCACGCACCGCACTTCTAGACAAGCTCCGCAGCTGCTTCCCCTGTTGAACAGCTTCCCGCTCAGGCCTGCACTGTACCCGCCAAAGCTGCTCTGCCTCAGATCTCCATACCCACAAGCGCCTCCTATTAGGACCAATTAGTCTAGTCAGTCCTGATGAAAAAAGAAAGAAAAATAGAGAGAGAGAGAGAGAGAGAGGAAAAAACCAGTAGCGACGGAGGAGGAGCCGTCCCTGTCTCTAGAAAGCGTGGCTGTGGCTAACTTCCAGTCATCCTCTGCAGTGGCTTGAAAGAGGCGGCAGAGAATGAAGAAGAGGCACAATGCGAGTTGCTGAAGCCCAGAATCCATGAACAAGAAGTGTTGTTGGGATCCTCACAGTCACAGGTGGCAGACAAAAGTGACGCGTTTGAGAGGGTTTTGGGGGTTCCTTTTGATCATCAGGCTCCGCTTTTCAAGACTGGTGGGGATGCGACAAAAGATTGCTCTGACATGTTTTGACTTTGACAGTTTCGGTTTCAGACCAATTATAATAAAAAAGGGAACAACAACACGTTTTCCAGGCCCATCTCATTCGGCGGCCCACTTTCAATCCGATGCAGAATCAAGACAAGAGACGCGAGACAAACTTCTTGGGCCCTTTTTTTTAATCCAATGAGTCATGTATGTCACAGTCAAATCATAATAACTCTTCAATATGGAGCAACCAAAAATTGATCCAAATCTTCCGGCCGCTGATGGCACTAGCCTCGTCTCGTGTGATTTATCTATCTCAAACTTCTTGGAACGTATTGATTTGATCCCATAAGCTGGATCACCATCCCATATCATATATAACGACCTAAAAACAAAAAAAATTGTACGTGAAGTTTTAAAATAATCTCTTTCGCGCCTGATTTCTCTTCTTATTCTTGCATCTTTTTTCTTAATTTTGGTTTCTCCAGCTTCTTCGACCATGAGTAGTCATCTTTTGCAAATTATTGAGACGGATGATACTGAAAAATGTTGTTAAAGTTACTGAAAATGAAGAGTTATGCAAGATGGGAGCACAAGATGTTGCAATGAGAATAACAAATAGCATTGATATATCTCGGAAGGCATACGTGTCTTCAACTTTTACCGTGGGAACAGATGTTCACAATATTCATTCTAACACCGAAGGTATTGTGTATTTCTTCAATGAGATAAGTGAAGGTATGATTAACACAATTGGCTATTGACAAGGTAAAGACGTGGACCATAGATAAAATGAAGCGCTTGCTTAAAAAACTTGATGCGAAAGTGATTACCAAAAATAAGAGAACCAACAAGTACACAATAAGAGAAATATGGGACAAAACTGACGCAATACTTGCAAAGTCAGTCTATGGCACAAGGCACCAAAGCGGCCGTTTAGGGCATCATTGCATATATCGAATTATTCTTCTGAATATTGGTTAGGCTGTGTGCACATTTAGTTCATGTCATATAGTATTGTTTACTTCTTAAATAATGTTTTACTAATTTGTTTGTTGTTTAATTAAAGATTTTCAACCATGTATTATATTGTAAAGTCACGTGGATCTACCACTTTCGTTGGTGTATGAGATAATTTGAACAAAAACCTATAAATATTAGTTTTGTAATCTTAAAAATGATATATATATATTTTTTGTCAATAAAATGATATATATATATATATATTTTGTCAACAAAATGATATATATATATAGATATTTTAATTCAATTTATAATGTTAGCATCTTTAAATCATTTGTGACAACTAAATAATATAATATTTTATTATATTATTATTCTTTTATAAGTATGATATCATGAAGAAGAGAAACAACTGATGAGGTACGGAAGTAGAAGATTGAAGTTGTGGCCATTTATTTTCATAAAAGAAAAAAAAAAAATTAGCTAGGTCTTGGTCTTGGTCTTGCATGCAAATGCAATTCCATTTTTTTTAATGTAGTTTTCTATATTTTCATAAGAGGTTCTAAGGGGTTTTTGAATGTAGATTAGAACATGTTTAGCGGAAATTTCTCATTGTATTAAAAATATAAAATAATAAAAAAGTAAAAAAAGAATAAAGTGATTGAAAATCTTTGTAGAGACTCATTTGACACATGTCTCAACGTTATTTATTATGAGTTTTATTTATAGTTTAAATTTTAAATTAAAAAGTTATAAAAAATTTATTAAAATAATATATTTAAGAGATTAAGAGAGATTCTTTCCACTCCACATGCTCTAATAAATCCATCTAAAATTCAATGATTAAAACATTTACAATGACAATGAATTTGAATGTACTTTCCGAATCACTCTTAAAAGTTTTTAAGAGACATTTACAAATAAAATAATTGGATACCATGGAATTTGTCATTTTAATACAAATCATATTTAAAATGCTTGTTTGATTGAATACACATTTAAAAAAACTTGAAATTCTCGTGAAGACACTCAAATCAAACCGAGACGATGATGTCCTTAAGGGGAAGAAGAGTGGAAGAAGGTAGCGGTTTGAGGTGGATGAGAACATGTATATATGAATCTTCTTTGCTGGGACGACCGTGACCAGACTTATCCAGCGTCCCATCTCTATAGACAAACACACTCAATTCATCCTCTTCCATGCGACGCCACTTTCTGTTTTTATCTTTGACACGTTGCAGCGGCATGCCCCTGCATCATCATGACTTCTTTGAGCTATGTCACATCCATCTATCTAGATCATTATTCTTTTTTTTTTTCTGTTGTAAATGAGAAAGGGGTATATATCCAGGTGTACCTGACATGGAAGAGATCAGAGACATCAAGAAAGAAGGCCAATGCGTCAATAAAAGCCTGGTAGGTGCTGATGTGGAGGCCGTCGATGTGGGGATAGGGCAGTCTGGGCCTGGTGGTGGTGGTGGGAGATGAGAGGAAAACGTACTCTTTGAATCCTCCTCCTCCGGTGGCCTGAGCGATGAAGCCCATGGTGGACATGATAGGTTCGAGCTCCTCGTGCGTCATAACAGGCTTGAAGGTTCTCGTGTGCCACAAGGCCAGTTTCCTCATACACTCCTCCATCATCTCTCGAGATCCATCCATCCTTGTCAAATCGAGTGAGTGTAGGGATTATCGATATTTTTTTTGGTTTTTCTTTCTTTTGCCCTTGTCCTTGATTTTTATTCACCAAACTGCCATTCCTTTGTGTCCCACGTGGCCTTCTTCATCCCCAAGTGTGAGCCCTCGATTTAGTAATTTACTTACTGTCTAGTGGTGCGTAGTTGTTGTTGCAGAAGAATCTTCTCACCTTCCTCCTCCACACCCCCATGAGTCTTCGTCTTCTTCTTCTTCTCCTCGTTGTTCTTCAGCTATGCCTCCTTTCTGCGGTGGCCGGCGACGACGCAATCATCACCAGATTCCAGGAGTATCTCCGAATCAACACGGTCCAGCCCCACCCGGATTACTACAAAGCCGTTGACTTTATAAACTCTCAGGCAAAACCACTCTCCCTCGAATCTCAGACGATCGAGCTCGTCAAGGGAAAGCCCCTTCTCCTCCTCAAATGGGTTGGCTCCGACCCAACCCTACCTGCCTTTCTCCTCAACTCCCACACCGATGTCGTTCCCTTTGAGGACTCCAAGTGGACTCACCATCCTCTCCAAGCTCACATCGACCACCACGGCCACATCTATGCCAGGGGTTCCCAGGACATGAAGTGCGTCGGGATGCAGTATCTCGAGGCCATACGCAAGCTCCAGGCTTCCGGGTTTCAGCCTCTCCGATCCGTCTATCTCTCCTTCGTCCCCGATGAAGAGATAGGCGGCCACGATGGCGCCGAGAAGTTCGTCGAATCCCAATTCTTCAAGAGCTTGAACATCGCAATCGTGCTCGACGAAGGTAAACAAACACTCTTCTCGCTTTGATTTATAACTACTAATACCCAAGCATCTTATATAACAAACAAAGTGAATCAGGCCTGCCATCGCCTACTGAGAGTTACAGAGTATTCTACGGAGAGAGGAGTCCCTGGTGGCTGGTGATTAAGGCTAAAGGTCCACCTGGCCACGGTGCCAAGCTCTATGATAACTCTGCCATGGAGAATCTGCTCAAAAGCATTGAGAGTATTCGCAGATTCAGAGCTTCTCAGTTCGATCTGCTCAAAGCTGGTGGGATAGGTGAAGGCGATGTTGTCTCTGTGAACATGGCCTTCCTCAAAGCTGGCACACCTTCTCCAACTGTAACTACTTGTCTCCATTTTCTCTTGATTCCAAAGTTGTGTCTTTATGACTGCATCTGACTATTTGGCTCTTTCTTTATCCTCAAGGGTTTCGTAATGAATCTGCAACCATCTGAGGCAGAAGCTGGTTTCGACATTCGTGTTCCACCCAACGTTGATGCTGAAGCACTCGAAAGACGTTTGGTGGAGGAATGGGCTCCAGCAGCACGAAACATGTCCTTTGAGGTAATTTCTTGAAGCCTAGCAGCAACACAATGTTTGATGCAAGTTAGAGTGCCCCCCCTTTTTTAAAAAAACAAAGTAGTTTTGTTACCCGAGAGTATGTATCTCTTCTCGAAAACTTTAACTAATTAAGATGTTAGCTGGGGCAGTTCAAGCAGAAGCTTACGGGGAAGCAATTCCTTACAGCAGCAGATGATTCAAATCCTTGGTGGGGGCTCTTGGAAAATGCTGTTAAGGAAGCCGGAGGTAGGACCAGTAAGCCTGAGATTTTCCCTGCATCAACTGATGCTCGCTACTTTCGCAAGGCTGGCGTGCCTGCCTTTGGGTTCTCTCCCATATCAAACACCCCGAGTTTGCTTCATGACCACAATGAGGTACATATAAGTTCATTGATTTGATTCTCACTTTGCTCATTGTTGGAGGATCATCATTTACTAACAAACGCATTGACGTTTTGCTGTGTTGCAGTATCTGGGTAAAGCTGAGTACTTGAAGGGCATTGACGTGTATGTTTCAATCATCAAAGCTTATGGATCATATGAAAGCAAAAGTGGTTCACGAGATGAGTTATGAGCCCATTTTAGAAGTCCTCCTTTCGAAAATTTGTACAATCAATCAATAAGATCTGAATCCATCGTGTGTTGTGGTAAATCAGAGACATGTTATGAGACTCTTTGCAAATTGATCATTCCTACCTGTTTTTTCTCAACTATATACACACAGTATTGTGGTGTTTCCCTCGTCGTTTATGGGCCGTACATATTAGGCCCATTAGTACCAAATCCATTTAATTTAAACCGCTCCACTCCAGTCCTCCTATCTCTTCGTGAGTCTGCTCTGCTCCCAAATGTTATCGTCCTCCGGAAGCTCCCTCTTATGGCGGAGCCGTACACCTGCGCCGGCACCTCCGCCTCGGTCTCCACCACCGTTTAAAGCTCTTTCTTTTCCCTTCTCTTTCCCGCCGTTTGCACACATCCTGCAAAGAACCACAATTTCCCCTCCTTCTTGTTCAGCTGAAATTTCCTCGGAGATTGCCCTGGCGCAGAGCCAGCCTGCCCCTGATTTCAATCGTAAGCCCTCTGTTCCTGCCTTTAAGATTATATAATTGATGCTTTCCGGTGAATTAAGGCATCTCTGTTTTTGTGTTGTGTAATGATGGGTTCTAGCCTGGTCGGAGTTCGCTCAAAATGTGTCTGGCGAATGGGACGGTTTCGGAGCAGATTTTACATGCGAAGGGCAACCGCTTGAACTACCTGAATCAGTGGTTCCAGAAGCCTTTAGAGAATGGGAAGTGAAGGTGTTCGATTGGCAGACGCAGTGTCCCACTCTTGCCCAGCCCCACTCACTCTCCTTTCTTTACAAGTCCATCAAACTCCTCCCCACCGTTGGATGTGAAGCTGATGCAGCCACCCGTTACAGCATCGACCAGAGGATCATCGGGGGAAGCAAATCCTTTGCATTAGCCTTTTCGTATTCTGTCACTGGCTCCTATGTCGCTGTGTGGCCTTTGCGGAACAACCAGCTTGAGGTGGAGCATTGCCTGATCAATCCAAATGACAAGGAGTCTCGTGTGAGGATTTTCCAGGTTGTCAGCTTAGCAGAGACCAACATGTCCCTGCAGAGTGTCAAAGTTTTCTGTGAGCAGTGGTACGGTCCTTTCAGAGATGGCGATCAGCTCGGAGGTTGTGCCATCCGTAGCTCCGGCTTTGCTTCTACACCTACCACAGCAGCTTCAGTGGTTACCGGTTCTTGGAGAGTTCTACTTGCTACCACTAGCTTTCACGCCTCTGATTTCGTGAGTTGGCCTCCTTATTTAAGTGTGTATTCGATGATTGCCTTAATAAATCTAAGTTTGTTTATTTTGTGATTGTGAGTATGTTCAGGGTTGTATTCAACAAGTTACTGGCGAGAAGGTGATTGAGATTGTGAGAGAAGAAAAGGATCTTTTATTGCTTCCGCAAGAGATGTGGTGCTCACTCCAAGAAGGAAAAGACCGCGAAAGAGAATTTTCAGTAGGATGGGTGTTTGAGCCAGGCCAGGCTATCACATCCAGCTGCGTCTTCTCTAGCGATTCTAAGCTAAAGGTAACCAATAATCTTCTCTGTGACCACTACATACTCTGCTCCTTGCAACTTGTGGTCATTATCATCTCTTTTACTTTGCGCAGGAGGTAACAGTGGGGAGAGAGACTGCTCTATCAGATGTATGATCAATCATCGTTAAAATCTCCACAGCAATCATTCTTATAATTTTCTTTATAGAGACTGCTATATCAGTCAAATTACAATAATCTCATATGACTTCCTATACTGATGTTTGATTCAGTTTATCTGTTAATAATACATATCAGTTCATTTTAGAGTGCAGAGCCTTTGTTGATTCAATCTTTACCGGGAAGGATCCAGACCATGGAAACCATATTTCTGCAGAGCTTTGTAGCTTTTGCATATCTTCGCTCAGCTCTATCAACAATGAAGGTTTCACGCACACCGATGTATAGACTGTCAGTTTGGGAAAGAATTCGATGGAAGTTAACTAGAAAAACTGAGAAAGACTTAACCTGTACATAATCGTGAGATTGCTTGTTTCTCACTGCGAGACGGCATTGTTCCTGAGGCTCATGTTTATGCTTTTCCTCATTGTTCTTCCAACAATGCCTTTCTGCATCATAGCTACAAACTCTCCGTAGTCAATCCTTCCATCCTGAAACAATAAGAAGAAAATGATCCCTGGCTTTTGACCATATAATCTCCAAGCCAGAGGATATGTATGCATAAGTCTCTCACATTGTCTTGGTCGACTTCCTTGATCACATCTTCTAGAAAGACATCACTCATTCCCTGTTCAGCACATGCGTGCTGTAGCTCGTCGATAGTGATGTAACCGCTGCCATCTTTGTCAAAGTACCTGAAGGCTGACAGAAGATGTTCCTCACGCTCTAATTTGTTCAGATGGATTGTTGCAGCAATGAATTCACCATAATCTATGGTCCCACTCTTGTCAATATCTGCCTGGGAAATCACAGTCACAGATTCATACTTAAAATACTGATTTCAAGTAGGTACTCACACAGATCAGATCAGAGCAAAGTGCTTACAGCCTCCATAAGGTCGCGAATCTCAGTATCCTTAAGGGTAGAACCATATCTTCGCAACCCAGCTTTTAGCTCGTCAAATGTAATCGCTCCACTGTTATCCGTGTCCATTGCTTTGAACATTTCCTTCAGTCCAGCAATTTCTTCCTCCGAGAGACTCTCAGCTATTACCTGAATCACAGCAGAAGACATTTATGGAAATTGTTCATAATAAACGGAAAAAGGCTTGCGTCAGGGGACTTACCCTTAAAGCCATCTGCTTTAGTTTATTCATCGCAGAGAATTGCTTAAGACGAGAAAGCACAGCAGGATCTAGTGCTCTGTCTGGCGCAACTCCATTTTCACAGATCCAAGGATGGCCTGCAAAATTCTAAGTAAGCTAGCAGATACACTTATTCAGGACCTGAAATAGGACCAACTGGTTAGACTTACGCATTACTTGATGAGCTGTCAGTCGCTCAGAGGGCCGGGAACATAGCATGCCACGGATCAAGTCTTTTGCAGAGTCAGATATTAGGGGCCAAGGGTCGGAGTCAAAGTCAATATGTCCCTTCAGCACGGCATCAAATATCCCTTGCTGTGTTTCTGGAGTTTAAGCAAAACAGATAGTTGAGAATCTTTTACCTTGGAAGTCTTATCACAGTTGTTTCATTTGGTTGCATACCTGCCCAGAACGGAGGGACTCCGCTCACCAATATGTACAGTATGACCCCTGCTGTCCACACATCAGCCTCTGGTCCGTAGTGCTTGAGCAGAACCTCAGGTGCAACATAATACGGACTTCCAACCACATCCTCGAATATTTGACCTGAAAGTTGCAGATGATGTAGCAAGTTTGAAACTCTTGACTGAATATGTTGCAAAAGATGCAGCTGATGTTATCACCTGGTTTGAAGAAGACGGAAAGCCCAAAATCAATGGCTTTGAGAGAGAAGTCATCGTCCTTGTTAACCAACAAGAAATTTTCGGGCTTTAGATCTCTATGCATGACACCAAGCGAATGGCAAGCCTCAACAACACCAACAATGATCTTTATCAGCTCAGCTGCTTTTCTCTCACTGTAATGTCCTCTTTGGATAATTCTGTCAAACAATTCCCCACCTGAGCAAAGCTCCATCACGATGTGAACATACAATGGATCCTCGTAAGCACCTTTAATGGTGACAATGTTCTTGTAACCAGCCAGGTGGTGCATAATTTGAATTTCCCTGCGCACGTCTTCCACATCTTCCTTTGATATCAACTTTCGTTTTGTTATAGATTTGCAAGCGTATTCACGCCCTGTTGAGATCTCTCTGCACATGTAAGTCGTCCCAAACTGTCCTTGACCTAGTTTGTGTCCCAACGAGTAGAGATCTCGGATGCTTGGGGTCTTTTGACCAAGAACATAGCAGGCTTGGTTCCCACCGCTTTGCTTCATTGTGGGCACGTCTTTTGCCAGTTTGTGTGCTGAAGCAAATCGTGGAAAGACAAAATGATTAGAAGAATGTTAGTGCCTCGAGACAGATGGAGCAGCCAAACAAATCATAATCCAATCCCTTACCAAGTTAGTTCACCTCCCCTTCCAAATCAGTTTGCCATCAGAGGAAAACAGAGCAACTCCCATAGCAAGATCTGAAACATTAAAAGATGGGATACAAATTTAGCATCAAAACCGAAACTTGCAGCTACATATTTCAAAAGATCATCACTCAGTAATCTCCCAGAGCAAAATCGCATAATAAGGAGAGACATTAAACAGGGGAATTATAGGAAGAGATGGATGTGTACCAGGCAAAGATGATAAGAGTGGATGAAATTAAGTCAGATTGGTGCAGATCCGATGATACAATTTGTTGAACATGGTTTTGCAATATTCTCGCCAACGTCTCCACATCCTGACTAAAAATAACAAAAGAAGATATCGTTGATCAACAGATCTGTCTCTTTCTTTAATTAGAATATTCTAAAAATGCAGTGGACTCCACAAAGCTCTTTTCTTAGGCCTACTTCACATGAGACAAATCAAGACCTCCAATTGGTCGCATCTCCTGATCGGAACAAACCTTTAATGATCCCATGGCCTCAGATTCTAGTTGACGGGTTATATACATACTTTAGCAGTGAGATAAGGCGAAGGAGAGAGATGCGATTATGATCTAATAGAGAAGATGGGGGTCGACTGCCTTCATTGGCTACTCGCCAAAGATGAACTAAAAATTACTTCTTTGAAGCAACACACATTATTTAGTACATATGCACATGTTTGAAGAGATATATACACTAGCAATAGAGAAGCCATAAGAAGTGGGAAGAAGAAAAATTGCATAGAATGATTTGCTTTCGTATAAGATGATACCCACAAGACAATCAGTTTTAAAACGACTGAAATATATATTTAAGCCTGACCCTTTAAGGGGTTCCCATAACTTCTGAGCCAATGAGACAGGTCACCAGAGCTTCCTTTCTGTTAAAGTTAACCCCACCCCTCTACAAACTCATCCGTAAGTAATAATACAACCTAACAGCTGCTAGAAGGAGGCTGCATGCGCTCGAAAATCTTCTTTTGCTTTCATCTGCGTGTGAATGCCGGTTAGCACACAACTGTAAGCAATGGTTAAGATGTAAATGATGCTGGTTGGAGAAGTACATGTTTTGCATCAGGAATTTCGAATTCCAAGCTGCATTACAGAATCTGGCCCAACCAGGAATACACGTCTTGTTGTCTGGATTCGAAACACCACTACTCCTTTATATGCTGTTCGAGGCACACCATCCTACACAATGAAAGGGGTACACAAAAGTGACCCTTTTGGACCTACAATCATTGAAGATTATAGTTCAATCATCTGAAATTTACCTTCCATTCTTCAAATATACCAAATTCCCCTGCAATGCGTTCAAACTCTGCTTGGTCTTTATACCAGATACGAACATCACTCTTTATGTTTTGAACCTTTAAGACAAGGTCAGCACCTTGAATTGGTCGTGCTTGTCTCACTAAGCCAGAAAAGTACTTGGTATAGTTTCCCTTCGTAGACATGAGAGAACAAGTTTAAAACTACATTTATCCACTCAAAACATGCAAAATGGAAACAAAGGATATGGTTCCCAGAGTTCTATAAATGTTACCTCTGTCAGGTACCCCAGGTCCTTTGCTTTCCAATCAACCTTTATGAATGAAATAGGAAACCAGTGAAAACTAGTGATGCAACAAAAGGGGGTAAGAAACACACTGATACTTACCTTCACATCGTTTAGCTTTATAGGTTCCAGATACTGACTGAAAAACTGTCCCAAACTAGACCCCTGCCAAATGAAAACAACAAGGTTATATGGATAAGAAGGAAATGGAATATATTTTATCTGGTCTTGACTGTCTACGTCCATGTTTCGAGAAACTATAGGACGAAGCTGCAATATTACATTTTTTCATACAGAAAGCAGAAGTCATATGCAGCGAGCATAGGCCAATTTAATACAAGTAAAAAGAAACAGAACAACTATGATAATGGGAACTCATATGATATATAGCATAATCCGGTACTAACATGTTCACCAAAATTGTATGTTCTGCAGACTTCAGGTCGAATAAATTGGCGGCCTTTATGGTTTTCCTTTAGTCTCAGCCAATCATCCCAGTAAGTGGAAATTTGTTAAGAAAAGTCTTAGAAGCGTCAAACTATGTCATTGAGATTGAAAAAAAACGCATATGTATAAGGATATGCCTTTGGCCACTTTGGTGATAACTCATCCCAAGTCGATCTCTTCAGCATCCACCCAAGGCCAGGAAAAAAATCTGATCGGTAGAGTGCATCTGCAGATTATTTTAGTTAGCATGTGCTAGACATAATGAGGTATTGAAAGAACAGGCAAGAGAGGAAGCGAGGTAAACAAGAAGAAGAAGAATCTTACAGGGATCATGTACAAACTGCTTCTGCCCATTATCATTCCATGATGAAGCTGCCATAATGGTTCTAACACATGGTTGCACCAGAAAAGAATGAGAAACAGTAAAAAACCATTTTTATACTCTGTGGAAACTTGTACTATAAGAGTCTAGCTTCAGTAGGTAACATACTTATCCCTATCCATGAGATTAGCTGCAGCCTCAAAGTAATCAAAGAAGTCTGGAGCAATTTCCATATCATCTGTTAAAGAGACAGACAACCTTTCTTAAGCAATACTCCACAAGGTACAGACAGCCCCTCTTAAACAATACAACAGCAAGGTAAAATGAGGGGTGAAAGGTTAAAAAGCGTCACCTTCTAGTATAATCACTCGGCTAAATTTGTGTTTGTAGAACAACTGGTCCAGTGCCCACTTGTAGTGACCTGTACTAAAAAGTGTTTCAGTATGGAGCTGGAGGGACGCAGAGAAAGGAGAAACCAGTCCTTACGTGCAATCTTGTAGTACGCAATCAGTTCGCCAGGCCTTTCAGTGATCACTGGTTCAAAATCCAAGTGCTAAAAAGGGGAAAACGAGCCTTCATCCTACATGACCAAATTACTTAAACAGTAAGGAGAAAAATCACACTACTATTAAATATTACCTGCATATATGTTAGTTGATTATAGCTCAATGCCTTGCTCTTGACGGCTTGATTAGATCCATCCTGTCAGAAAATTTGACGTTCTATGGTTAGTAATTCATTGAATATCAAACTGAGTAAGAGACCACTACCCAGAAATTCCATGAAATTAAGATAACACCTGAGATATAAATAGAGGATATTTTGAAGCAACGGGACTTTGATATCTGTAAAAAAAGAATTAGCCATTAGACAGTTCAATTAAGATTTGCTGTAAGAATTAAAGCAGTCTAGTATCTCACGTTAAAACTGATTTAACTGTCCTTGCAAGATAGTCTGCACGACTGCAGGCCATAATCACAACAGCAGCCACAGGCATCTGGTAAATACAAAGAAGAAACAGGTTATATATAGCAAGTGACAGCAGTGCAGCAAATACAAATACGAAGAAGAGCATCTTCTTATCCAGACCTGTCCAGCTTCAATGAGTTTTGCTATTCCTTTTTCTGGGAGAAGAAAATAAGCATTACTAGCAAAACTAAAAAAAAAGAAAGAAAGAACATTAGTTTTACAGGTGACAGAAAGGCACTTTCAAACGTGTGGATAAGATCCTTAAGCTGCACAAGTTCTTGGTCCTGGCGGTTCTTCATATCTAAAAGCCACTCAGAAAGCAATGTATAAGTCTTCAACTCCATTCAAATATGATTTTCTAATAGGATCCAGAAATCATGGTCATATAGGATTCCACAAGTAGTAATGGGGATAAACAGATACCTTGGAGAGCAACAATCTGTGACTGTTTGATGCTAACTTCATCTATGAGGCCACGCATTTGACTAGTGCAATGGTTCTCAGATTCGATCTGCAGAAACAAATTAAAGGGTTTGTATTGATGACACAAGCATTGATATCTTGTAATAGTGCAGATAGTTTCTAGTAGTTGATGGGCTAGTAAAGAGCATAAAATGGGATTTCAAAAGGAATAGTCTAAAGACAAAGGCAGTGAGTGGTCAAAGTAGAAACTGACAGCGGAACCGAGGCGATCTGCATACTGTGATTGCGTCTGGAAAAGCCTCATCTAGACAAGAGAATTACAGATTTAGGATCAATTCCAATTTCAAAAGCGAGCGAGATCATCGGATATAGATTGACCTGGATGTAGATGAACATGAAAGCCGCCGGGATGAGAAGGAATCTCAAGTCACAAGACATCCTCGCCATATCGACGACAAACCAGATCAAAAGCCGCCGGGAGGGAGCTAATAAGGAAGTTGTTTGAAACGGTGTCGTTCGTTAATAACAAAAACGGTGTCGTTCGTTTCCCAGTAAAAAATGATATCTAGACCATTTCATTTTCATCCATAAATAGCGACAAGAAACCAAAAAGAAGAGTCCACCAACCAACTCTACACGCAACTCATCCAATTATCTTGCTGTCCATCCCCATTTCCTTCGAGCAAGAAGAAAGCAAATCTCAGAAATTCATCAGATGGGTTTTGAGAACGAACCTAGCTCCTCCTCCTCTTATACCCTTAAAATACCCCCACCGGCCAGAGAGGACACGCCTCTCCTCGGCAAGGGACCTCCCCTCTCCAGCCAGTTCAAGACCTTCGCCAACGTCTTCATCGCTGTCGTCGGCGCTGGTGTTCTTGGTCTTCCTTACGCCTTCAAGCGTACCGGATGGCTCATGGGTGTCCTCCTCCTCGTCTCCGTCTCTGTTTTGACCCATCACTGCATGATGCTTCTTGTCCATACCCGCCGCAAGCTCGACTCTTTTAATGCTGGCATCTCCAAGATCGGCTCTTTTGGGGACCTTGGATTCGCCGTCTGCGGCTCCTTCGGGAGGGTCGTCGTTGACTTATTTATTATTCTCTCTCAAGCTGGTTTTTGTGTCGGATATCTTATCTTCATCGGCACTACTTTAGCTAATCTATTCGATCCTGATTCGCCCACCAGTCTCAGGCATCAGTTTACAAGGCTGGGTTCTGAATTCCTGGGCGTGTCTTCTAAGAGTCTCTACATTTGGGGATGCTTTCCCTTTCAGCTCGGTTTGAATTCGATTAAGACCCTCACTCACTTGGCTCCTCTCAGCATCTTCGCCGATGTTGTTGATCTTGGCGCTATGGCTGTGGTCATTGTAGAGGATTCCATGATTATACTCAAGCAAAGGCCTGACGTCGTTGCCTTTGGTGGTATGTCCCTCTTCTTGTATGGTATGGGCGTGGCTGTCTATTCCTTCGAAGGCGTTGGAATGGTCTTGCCTCTTGAATCGGAGATGAAGGACAAGGACAAGTTTGGCAAAGTCTTGGCACTCGGCATGGGATTCATCTCTCTCATATACATCGCATTTGGTTTCCTAGGTTACTTGGCTTTTGGTGAGGACACCATGGACATAATCACTGCTAACTTGGGGGCAGGACTTGTCAGCACTGTTGTTCAGCTTGGACTCTGCATCAACCTCTTCTTCACCTTCCCCTTGATGATGAATCCAGTGTTTGAGATAGTGGAGAGGCGTTTCTCGCGCGGGATGTACTCTGCGTGGCTCAGATGGCTACTCGTCTTGGCAGTGACTCTGGTGGCTCTCTTTGTGCCAAACTTTACAGATTTTTTGTCATTGGTTGGCAGCAGCACTTGCTGTGTGTTAGGGTTTGTGTTACCTGCATTGTTTCATTTATTGGTGTTCAAGGAAGAGATGGGGTGGATGCAATGGAGTTCAGACACAGCGATTGTGGTACTGGGTGTGGTTCTTGCTGTGTCGGGAACTTGGAGTTCCCTGAGTGAGATCTTTTCGGTCAAAGTGTGAGCGTCCGGGAAGTGAGAGATTGGAGAGGTTTTTCTCTACTTGTGTCCAATAAGTCTCAAGTGTGCAATTATGTATATGGGATTTGTTGTGGTGTTAAGAGTAACTGTGATTGTATTTGTATTTTGATGGTTGGAATAAAAGAGATCAGCTCTGTCTTCTGTTTTGTGATTACATACACAATATATGTGAGAGTTTTGGGTTCTCAATGCAAGGGAACCTTGTGAAATAAGCATGACTAGCTAATCAAATGCTTTGTATTATTACAAACTGTTGATTGTGTTCCTTCCATGAATCACCTTCTTCAAGATGCCTCTCGTAGAAGCATACCTCACCATCACCATCACCATGGGACTTGATGCTGATCGCCGAGATGCTTCTGGTCCCATAACGCCCCTGTATCTCCATGAGTGAGACTGAATATTCATAGAAAGTGTTAAACGAAAACGTACTCTAAAAAGGGAAGGTTACAGTTGGTCTCTGCATGTCGACGAAGATGGAGCTGAGATGGTATTCCGTCTCAGGTGTGAAAACGTGAGGTAGCTCGGTTTCTTCGTCCTTGACAGTATTGGTCATCACCTCCTCGACCATGGTCTTCACCGGGAATTCACGGCTCGCGTTCTCAGCCAGAAGCTGTTGGAAACACTCTCTCAGCCTCAGACACTGCAGAGACAAAACACGCAATTGGGGAGTCTGCAAAAGGTAAATAAAGGGAGAAATGGCACATTTACTAACCTTGGGCCAAGGAGAGTCGAGGTTGGCGTTGGAAAGGACATGGATCCCGGGAGAGACTTGCGTCACGAGCTTGTGACCGTGGGGTGGCCGGTTGGTAATGTAAATCATGGATTTGGACAAGACATGAGCGACAACCAGGTTGAAGCCATTGTATAGTGAAATTTCGTCTTGGATCTCCTCGGCAAAATCGGCCGGACTCTTTCGGCTCTGTTCTCACCAAAAACGTTAAAACTATTACAAACAATGTAAAGCATAACTATTAATTAGGTGGTGGTGTAGACCTGCAAGTAACGAATAGGCAGATCTCCACGGGATTTAGCAGCAGGGAAGGAGGAGGCTTCCCTGAAATTGGTGAGGAAAGCGAGACGGCCGTGCCTCGTGCACCCCAGCCACGTCCCGCCGCCAACGAGGTCTCTTCCTCCCACCGTCTCTCCGTCTTCCCACCAACGCATCGCCTCCGTCGCCCTTGACAATTTACACAAAACAACATTACAATCATCAAAGGAAACGATTACAGAGGGGATTGAATTCAATCACCTGTTGTGATATTCATCTCTGTTGAGAAATAGAAGAAAAGGGTAAAGCGGATGCGATTGCCACATAAACACTGCTATGCACATTCTCTTCTCCTCCGACGAACCAACGAACCAATCAACCAACGAACCATCTCTCTCTGCTTTAATAAAAGTCGTCTCTTTTTTTTTTCTTTCTTTTTTCCCGTCTTCTACTTAAAATAAACTGCGTGTGGTTCTTCTTACCACGAAACGGCAGCACGTGCACGTTTCTACAAACCGCCCGACTGAGTTGCTGCTGCTTAAAAGAAAGCTCGCCGGCGATGTGGTGATATCAGTCAGATCCAGATGACGACGTTCTCGAGAAGCGCCGCCTTCTTATCGCTGGTATCTACTTCTCTACCTTGATTGTTCTCTCTCCGTTCGATATGATTATCTCTCTTAGCTCCTCCTGGAATCCGCGCTACTCTTAAAACGGATCATCTGATCAAATTGTGCCTTCAATTTTTGAAATTTTGGATTTCTTGGTCGACGATTTGCAGGTAGTGGTGCTACATGCTGTTCATGTCGGTGGAGCCATGTTAGAGTCACAAGCACCGTAATGATGATACATCTCCTTGAAGCTCGTCTTTTGGCTACACTGTTTCTATTTTTGTTGATACTCTTTTCTTCCTTTTTTTTTTTGCCATGATGCTTCCTTGTGCAGCCACAGAGAACTTAAAGCTTATCGTCCGCTGCAAGATAATAATCTAGAGGTCTCATTCTCCTCTTCTTCTCCCAATAACTTATTTGTGATTAACTTTTTGTTATCCACTTTTGGCTTTAGGAGGTGTATGCTTCCTCAGCTGCTGCAGTGCACTATGATCCAGATCTGAAAGTAAGGCTGCGGTCTTCTTTCTCTGAGTACTGACTGAATACAATTTGTATGCCTTCCTACTTGTAATAAAGCTGTTATCTCAGGATGTGAACATAGTTGCCACATACAGTGACCATTACGGTAATATACGGCTTGGTAGGGTGAAAATGGGGGATCTTTCAACTTCTTGGGTTTTCGAGAATCCTGCCTATCAAGTTAGCGGCAGAAAAAAAGGTCCGCAGGTACCACAAACATTTAATGTCTGTTAAAGACTGGTACCCTTAGTTTTAGTAAGATTTGATCATCAGTTTAAGAACAGAACTGTATATCCTTCCTATGGACTCGATCGGAGAAAACTTAAAGTATGTGAAGTGATTACTTACCACTCTTATGGCAGAGCAAAAAATACCTCTCATGAACTTCATTTGTTCTAACCATGCGTTGATTTGTTTATGAGATTCCTCGCAGATGCTAGGCAAAAAAATACAAGTTTCTTTTCATTTCCTTGGATCTATCTTTAAGCTTGCTCATATTCTTTGTTCTCTAGTTGCTGACAATTTTTTTTGTGGAATTAGCTAGTTATACCACGGGATTCATTTCAAAATGATACTGGAATCGAAGATAATGAAAGCCATTCTACAACTAATCAGACTGATGAAAGCGAAAATCAGTTTCCAAACGTGGAATTTGCAAGCCCAGCAAAACTGAAGCGGCAGGTGATTATTTTCTAATCTCTGTATGCCTTAACACTATATGGCTGAGATTGTAACACCTGTAGACCCTTTCAGATTTTACGTCAAGAGAGGAGAGGTCAACGAACTTTAGAGCTGATCCAACAAGAAAAGGAAACTGATGAGCAAATGCAAGAAGCAGCCATTGAGAAGTCAATGAGCTTTGAAAACTCAGTCATAGGAAAATACAGTATATGGAGGAGAGACTATGAGAGCCCAAATGCTGATGCTATCTTGAAGCTTATGAGAGACCAGATCATAATGGCAAAAGCATATGCAAATATTGCCAAATCAAAAAATGTAACCAATCTGTACGTTTTCTTGATGCAGCAGTGTGGAGAAAATCAACGTGTTATAGGTAAAGCAACCTCTGATGCTGACCTTCCTTCAAGGTACTTTTTTACATTCCTCTTGTCAGCAATGGATTAGTGAGACAACAATCTTTGTTGAAATTTTTTCCATCCCATTTTCTTTGCTAGCGCTCTTGATCAAGCAAAAGCCATGGGCCATGCTCTCTCTCTTGCAAAAGACGAGTTATATGACTGCCATGAACTTGCAAAAAAGTTCCGGGCCATGCTTCAATCCACTGAACGCAAAGTAGATGGACTGAAGAAAAAGGGAACCTTCTTAATTCAGCTAGCTGCCAAAACATTTCCCAAGCCATTGCATTGCCTGAGTCTGCAGCTAGCGGCAGACTATTTTACTCTAGGTTTCAATGAAGAGGATGCAGTGAAAGAGGATGCCAGTCGAAAGAAGTTTGAAGATCCTTCTCTCTATCACTATGCGATATTTTCGGATAACGTTCTGGCTACATCAGTGGTTGTGAACTCCACTGTCTTAAATGCAAAGGAACCGCAGAAGCATGTTTTCCATATAGTAACTGACAAATTAAATTTTGCTGCAATGAAGATGTGGTTTCGCATCAGTGCTCCTGCTGATGCGACAATTCAAGTTGAAAACATCAATGATTTCAAGTGGCTGAATTCCTCTTACTGCTCTGTTCTACGGCAGCTTGAATCTGCAAGGCTGAAAGAATACTATTTCAAAGCAAATCATCCTTCATCAATCTCTGCTGGCGCGGACAATCTAAAGTACCGCAACCCAAAGTATCTGTCGATGCTGAATCATCTCAGATTCTACCTTCCTGAGGTTTATCCGAAGCTGGAGAAGATCCTGTTTCTGGACGATGACATCGTGGTGCAAAAGGATCTGGCACCACTATGGGAAATAGACATGCAAGGAAAAGTGAATGGTGCGGTGGAGACGTGCAAGGAGAGCTTCCACAGATTTGACAAGTACCTCAACTTCTCAAATCCAAAGATCTCAGAGAATTTCGAGGCGAGTGCTTGTGGGTGGGCATTTGGGATGAATATGTTTGACCTGAAAGAGTGGAGGAAACGGAACATTACGGGGATATATCACTATTGGCAAGACATGGTAAGGCATTGGAATTCTCAAAAGATATACATAAAAGTTTATTTTTGGTGTCCTGTGATAAATGATGAATGGATGTGTCTATAAAATATAAATGATTTCAGAATGAAGACAGAACACTGTGGAAGCTGGGGTCGTTGCCACCGGGGCTGATAACATTTTACAACCTGACATATGCAATGGAGAGGAGCTGGCACGTACTGGGGCTGGGATATGACCCAGCGCTAAACCAAACAGCGATAGAGAATGCGGCGGTTGTGCATTACAATGGGAACTACAAGCCATGGCTGGGTTTGGCATTCGCCAAGTACAAACCGTACTGGTCCAAGTACGTTGAGTATGACAACCCTTATCTCCGTCGGTGCCACATCAATGAATGAAGAGATTGTGGAGGTAGATGAAGCAGTCAAGAGGAAACTAAATAAGTAAAAATTGTTTTCAGTATACTTAGGGATCAACAGACATGAGTAATAAATAGAATCTCTTATTTTTCTCAAACTATAAATAGAATCTCTGATCTTTCTCAAACCGTAAAACAATCTCTGATCTTTGTCTATACTGTTGATAAGAATGGCCCGTGGATGCACATAATGGGCCTTAAATTGGCCCATCATTGCTTTCCTCTCCTCTCTAGACTCTCTAGAGTGCTAGCTCCGAGATGAGGGAAAAAACGCCATCTCTCGGAGCGGAGCTGCTCTGCTCGTATCCTCTCTGATCCATCTCCACCCTCCAGGTAAATTCTTTTGCTTCCCGATAGATTCTTCATTGATCAGATTCCAATAATACCAATCCTCAGTCCTCGTTTGGGTTCGAATCGCAGATACGCTTGATGTTGAAGCATTGCAGAAGAAATTCAGTATCCTCTCTTTACCTTTCTTAATCGCAGAATATTTTCTTGAAATGGAGCCCCATGGCGGCGGCGGGACAAGGAGTCCACCAAAAAACCCCATCCAACAAGATTCAAAGTCGATTGGGGTAAAGGTGGAGTCTCCAGCCACTAATGCTGCTAGCGGTCGACTTGTTTATGTGCGCAGGAGAGTGGAGGTTGACACATCCAAAGCAGCTGCGAGCACTAACCCGAACCCGCCTAAGGTTCCCCCACAGGCACAGGAACCAACTACTACTACCAGCCATAAGTTAGACTGGGAAGAGCGTTACCTTCATCTTCAAATGCTTCTTAATAAGCTTAATCAATCTGATCGGACCGATCATGTTCAGAGTAAGCTCCTCCCAATATCACCCACCACCTTAAATATGTATATATGTATTCACTCTAATTCTGGACCTTGATGCTTTTATTTATGTTTCCACTGTTATTAGTGCTTTGGTCACTTTCCTCCGCCGAGCTTAGCAAGCATGCTGTTGACTTGGAAAAGAGGTCTATTCAATTCTCTCTTGAGGAAGGTACTCTCCTCATTCTGGTCCAGGCTTTTTGGTTTGTAGCGGTTTAGCTAGGAACCATCTGGAATCAAGTATTTGCTAGAGAAATAATGTATGTGTTGATCCTCTGCCTCGTGCAGCGAGAGAGATGCAGCGTGTATCAGCTTTGAACGTGTTAGGAAGGTCTGTCAATAGTCTAAAATCTACATCAAATGACGGAGAATAGTGAAGGGAAAGAGAATAATGGGCAGCGTAAGTGTTGTTTAGTAGCATCAGAATGATGTCTTGAATCATCTTGGTGTCTGTTAGAAGACTGATCATCAGTATAATCATCTTGGTGTCTATTTCCAGAACACATGTGGTGGATGCGGAGAAAGGGCAGTTCATAATAATGAGCATAATATTCAAGGCATGTTTGTTACAGCAGTGGTTGTGGTTGTGATGCCTTGAAGAGAAAACAGGTATCCATCTAAGGAAGAAATCATAATCTGGAAATGTACAATCATATACTACAATCAATAAATATTGGAGAGATGCTCCCACGAGATAGGAGATTTCAATAGATTAGATTCCTTTCTTGTTAAACTCCTGAGAAACAACTGTCTGCAACGTCACTTGCGCTTAAGATCCCATTGCAGCAATGTGTATCTACTATTTTACACCTGTGTTGTGTACTAATAATACTACCATGCCCATCCCTTTTTTAATAGTATATAAATATGATATGAAGAGATGAGATTTTTTAAATTGCTACAAAAGAGAGAGAGTCTACAATTTCGCAATTATCAACAAAAATTATAGAGAGGCTTTTGACATTTCTGGTCTGTAAGAGAGGAGCATTGTTGGATGTTTAATTAATTATGTGATACAGTATTAGTGTATTACTATTACATAACCACCAAAAAAAACCAAGTATGTGTGTATGTATGCGTGGAAGATTATTATTAGGTTGTTGACTTCAGCTGTTTCCGTTTAATTATTAAAGAGCTTCATGATGTCATCCATTTTCTTTTTTATTTCTACACACTTTCTTATTTTTTTTTATACTAAACTTGCTGTACAATTTTTTAAAAAAAATTAATGATTAGTTTTCTTCTTGTTAAAACTTAAAAGACTTATCCCAACGTAATTTCAAATTAGGATTGTGGTTAAGTCTGTGTATAAATATATGATTAATGGATGACAAATATATATATGATTAATGGATGCACATATCTCATAAAGATTTGGGATACGATTTTTATGACGCATTATTTATAGATCTTCACAAGTAAATCCTTTCGTCAGATATATGTTGTTTTGTTTATTAAGAGATTCCTTAGCCTCATTGAGAAATTTACTACTCCACTAATTAAATTTAAAAGAACAATCATATGTAGTAGTAATTAATAATGAGAGAGATTCTGACAGGTTGCTGATGTCATATGGAGAAAGATTCGGACAGATCCATCATTGATCTCATCAACGCACCCCTTAATTAATGCAACTATATGAAAATAATATAGTTGTTGATTAATTGGTTTGAGAGAACACTGCTTTTGTGCAAGGCACGTAAACGAGATTGTCAACAAAAAAAAAGAAGAAGGAAGAATTGGATATAGAAGTAGTAACCTTCTAAAATCAACTGAACTTCGTCTCTATCCTTTTATACTCTCTAGCATGCTCTTAATGGAGATCATATTCACTTTCCTCAGACTAACATTTCATTTAGGATAAGTACTTTTAACAAAGTCTCTTTAAAAGGTATATATCAGAAGGGAGTTAAAACCCCATTTAGATTCACTTTATAAAGCAAAGGCATTAACTAATTAATCCCTGTTCTTAATTATGCAAACATATAGTATAGTGCAAGTAGGCTGGCACCTCTTTGGAAGAATCTTTTATTAAATTTATTGAGAAAAAGAATGTTTATTTAGAATCTGTTGGGAATCCAGTAAAATTGAAAAGAGAGAAGAAAGATAAGTAAGCAAGTAAATTATAGGAAGTTTTTGGAATCGAAAACAAAGAAGTGTGGGTCATGTCTCCTACAAAAGCAACATTTTTGCTACTAATCTTCTAACATTAATTATGATAATTAGCACGTAGTATATATATGATTAAGGGTGATGATGCTGCTGAAGCATTATTTCTGAGGATGCGGAGGATCGATGAGAAAGCTTGGCATGGAGGGCATTTTTTGGCTTCCCGTAATCCTCAAGAGTCATCACACTAGTTATTTTCATTCTGATAACGCGCACACTATGTGACCTCTCTCTTCTTTTTTTATCTACAGTAATTTTTTTTTGTTTACCATCTGCCTTTCTTTCATTGGCTTCTTTTTAAACAATTCTAAACTCTTTATTTCAGTTTTAGAACATAGAACGGCAAAATAATCGTATATATGATCATATTTGAAAAAAGTTTACAATTATTTGTGTTTCCCGAAACAACAATAATATTGCAATTTTTATGTATTATGATATGTAATTAATTAAACAAGTAATTAAGACGGGTTAAACACACAAAAATAATACGAAAAAAGAAGCATATAAAATTTCAGCCACACGTTTTTGGTTACTCTTGACCAGCTTATTATTTATACCTATAACATCGTTGATTAAGATTCCTTTTTTTGAAAAAAAAGTTATTGATCAATGTTTATCATTCTCTTTAATGTTTAATATATGTAAATAGTAGAAAGGGGAATGGGTTATGGGTATATTCCAAAAAGTGTTTGAAAGTTGAGAAGTGAAGTAAAATAAGGAGGGGATGCATGCTTATTCCATTATGACAATGTGTCCCTTTTGGAATCTTTCATGGAATCACCTTGATTAGTGCATGACTGGGTATATATGTATTTATTAAATTATTATCGTGAAACCCTAGCTTTTGTTGCCTCTATCTAACCTAAGAAAAAAAAAAATGAAAAGTAAATACATCGACTCGAGTGCTTCTGATACAATCAATAACAGAGGCACACTTGGATTTGCCTGGTGCATTGGACCACCCAACCCTCGGAGATTCAGGAAACTTTAGATTTTTGATTATATAAAATTTGAATAGTTAAATACTATCTATATATGTGACAGTTTATGGTGGGACCTTTTAAAAAGATTCTGCACGCTCACAACCAAAGATTCCCTCCATCTTCTTCTTCTCTGGATCCAGTTGTTGTTGTTGATGATTCTTCAAGAAAACAAGGATTATCCTCTCTTACTTACTTGCTTCATCTCTCTCTCTCTCTCTCTCCACATTACATATTCTCTCTTTTTATTACATTTTTGTGTGTATATACTGTTCTGGCTATCTTTGATATATAATATTTGTAACTGGATAAATATATGGATTAGTAAGATTCAGATGAGGTCGGCTCAAAATCCATCAAACCATTTATAAAATAAACAAGCTAGGGGTTTGACCTTGTGGGCAATTGGGTTTTTATTTTAGCTTCTGACTTATCCCATTTTGGCAGCTCTTTTGTTTGACATAATATTTAAAAGGGAGTCGTTGGCGTTTGATATTGAACAACCAAGGAAGGAGAGAGCCTATCAAACCACATGCTTGCATCATCTCTTTTAGCCAAGTCTACTTTCTAGGAGGCCTGCGCAGGTTTCTTCTTCTTTCTCTATTTGTCTGATCAGTTTCCCTTTTCTCTTTCTCTCCTGTGCTCATGGAAGAAAGCAACAACTCCGCCGTTGTGGATTTCCCTGACAACTTTATGGACCAACTCTTGTGGGAGGAGTGCTGTGAAGAAGAGGCAACGCAGACCGACCAGGCATTATCATCATCATCATCATCATCAGGGTTGAAGGAGAGGGTGGCTTGCGCCATGGGGCACCTGCAGGAGGTAATGGGAGAGAGGGAGTTGCTGATCCAGCTGTGGGTGCCTGTTGAGACAAGGAGCGGACGAGTGCTGAACACGGTGGAGCAGCCTTACTCTATCAACACCTTCTCCCAGAGCCAGAGCCTGGCCCTCTACAGAGACGCCTCAGCTGGCTACAGCTTCGCAGCAGAGGTTGGGTCGGAGCAGCTGGTGGGGCTGCCTGGGCGTGTGTTCCTGAGGAGGATGCCTGAGTGGACCCCAGACGTTCGGTTTTTCAGGAGGGAGGAGTACCCTCGCATAGGATACGCCCGCAGGTACCAAGTTCGAGCCTCCCTCGCTCTCCCACTCTTCCAAGGAACATCCGGGAACTGCGTGGCCGTGATGGAAATGGTCACCACTCACCGCAACTTGGAGTATGCCTCCCAGCTCCACACCATCTGCCACACCCTTGAGGTCATTTTTGAATCTAACCTAACTCTTGTTTGCTGATGAATTATTAATACGTATATAAGATTAAATTGATGAATAAAGTCAGTCTGATTGAGTCTTTATAATTCCCATGTAAAAAATATAATACTTGTCACTGCACTGTTGGAACACTGCTCAGCATTGACTCGCTCCCATGTCTTTGCATTAATTATTGTTATTATTTTTGTGTTGACGTAAGCAACCTTTGAAGAGCTTCAATGGTTAACATCCGTTACTTTATATAAACACTAGATATATTACTCACAATCGGAATTTCTCTCTGGCAGGCCTTTGATCTCCGGACTTCTCAAGCCTCCATCGTTCCAGCTTCTCTCAAGGTCACTTCTTCTTCTTCATCAAGAACAGAGGTGGCCTCTATTCTCCAAGGCATCTGCAGTTCACACGGACTCCCTCTAGCCGTCACGTGGGCTCACCAAGACTCCTCATCCTGCCTTTCGGCTCTAATCTCCGCCTCTTACGCCGCTGACCAAGACAGCCGCTGCTTCCTGGCCGCCTGCTCTGAGCACCATCTACTCGGGGGCGAAGGAATCGCTGGAAGAGCTTTCGCTACCAAGAAACAGTGTTTCGCAACAGATGTGGCCATCTTCAGCAAGTGGAGCTACCCTCTCTCCCACTACGCCAGGATGTTCGACCTCCACGCTGCTCTTGCCGTCCCTATCCTGACCAGAGGCAACCGCACTGTTCAATTTGTTGTCGAGCTCTTCTTCCCGAGAGACTGTCTTGACATCCAAACTCAGAGCCTGACCCTCGCCTCCCAACTCAAGCTACGCTTCCAAAGCTCACCACATCTGATGGTAGACGACAACCAAATTGCACAACAAGTGAGGGACGCAGCCACACCACCCCTGACACAAGAGGATCCCAAGGGCAAACAAGTGTCGTTTTCCTTTTCTTCTTCTTCCTCTCTAGAGAACCGAAAACGCAAGACAAAGGCTGAAAAGGATATCACTTTGGACACTCTCCGACAACACTTTGCTGGCAGCCTTAAGGACGCCGCTAAAAACATTGGTGGTGCGTCAGAGTTTTATATATTTGAATAGATATTTACATATTATTATGATGATGATGATGATGGCATTACATATTTTCAGTATGTCCCACAACCTTGAAGAGAGTCTGCAGACAACACGGAATCTCAAGGTGGCCATCGAGGAAGATCAAGAAAGTAGGACATTCTCTTCGAAAACTGCAGGTGGTGATGGACTCTGTTGAAGGAGTTCAAGGCTCTCTCCATCTCGCCTCCTTCTACTCAAGCTTCCCTCAGCTTCAATCTTCTTCTTCTTCTTCTTCTTTTCCTTTGATTAATCCAACCCAAACTGTCCATGTGCCTCCAAAGTCACCACCTTCGTCATCTGGCAGCCAGGGCTCTTCAGGTTCAAGCACTTGTTGCTCCTCCGAAGAGCAACAACTTGGTGGCTTCCAAAACCCATCTCTCAGTCATCCACAGCTGCTTACTCTAAGCAGCCTGCACGAGGACCAGAGGCCAGTTCGTGTAACCTCATCCCTACCCCCATTGCCATCCTCAACAGCTCCAAGGAAAGCAAAGGATGGGATGAAAGTGAAAGCTATGTTTGGAGATTCAATGCTGAGGATGAGCCTGCAGCCCCACTCGCGTCTCACAGACCTCAGAAGAGAGATCGCAAAGCGGTTTGGGATGGACGATGTTTTGACAAGTAACTTCAGTCTCAAGTATCTAGACGATGATCAAGAATGGGTTCTCTTGACGTGCGATGCTGATCTTGAGGAGTGCATACAAGTCTACAAGTCCTCTCTTAAAGAAACTATCAGAATATTGGTTCACCGTCCTCTTTCTCTTCCTTCCTTTGGTTCTTAACTAAATCCTAAACCCTTTTGGCTAATTCCATCATCGTCCATTTATTTTGGCTTGGTTTGTATATCTTTTTTATATATGCAACATACTTGTTTGATCTAAATGTATTTAGTTGTTGACTTCTTGTGATCCCTTTTTTCCCCTTCAAATACTATATAAGATGCTAGCTTTCTTTGAAGCTATTATGTTTTTGTGAGAAACATTATCTATAATAACCTACAGTTGCATTGCATCTTCAGTTTCTTAATTTTCTTTTTTGTTCTTTAAGTAGATAGGCTTTAGCTCCAAACTCTTTAATTCTTCATGTTTTTCCTTGACCTTTTACTCGAGTTAAGAATGTGTACCAACATGCCATACTTTGGGCCATGGGCCTATCACTTAACTTTGATACAAAGGATATCCAGTAATCACTATTTGATTCTTTAGTTTTTGACATTGTGTGATACATTCGAATGAAAGGAGTAATGCAAAGGTTGAGTTAACAAGTAAGAGAGTCTGTGGAGTTACTCAGTGCAATAGGGAAGAGGAAGCTTCGTCTGTCTGCTGCTGCTCGATGTCCAAGTGTAGCTGCGGCGGGCCAGCTAAACTCAGTATGACCTGAAACCCACAAAAAGTGTATAATCAATCACCCATTAGATGCTTACTGTCATATAAGTAGATGGTAGCAGATAAATCCAGTTTAACTTACAGGTAAGAAAACGAGCCCATGCAAGAAGCCGATTATAACCAAAGCCAAGTACATTTGGAAGTAATAAACCTGTATGCACCAATACATATCCATTTGAATCAACTCAAGCAAGAGGACCAAGAACTGCTCAAGGCATTGGATTTGGGTGTCCTTACCACAAATATCTCAGATCTTGCAAAGCAAAGCACGATCACTCCAACAAGTTTTGTGAGTGTGATCCCACTGTCCCCAACAACATATTTTCATTATCAAGTCCCACAAATATGACCACTTAACCAGTTAGACTAACGCCTTTGCATACCAAATAAAAAATTGCTATGGAGAAAATTAAAAGTGTAGCAACTAGCAAGCGATCGCAAGTTTCATCACCTGAAAACTGAAGCTCCCATGGTTTCCAGTGCCTCCCTCGCTCTCTGTTCTCTGTTCCCACTACTCATCTGCATTTAAAGCAGTGCAGGAAATAAACATTATTTTTCAGAACAGATCCACGCAAGGTCGAAAGGATAATTGGCTTGTTCTGCATCTTATATCCACTTAACCAAGAAGTAGTTGACAGGTGTGAGGAAAGTTGTTCTGCTACTACATGGCTACAGATTATAGTGCCAATATATGCAGTATAGTGTTCGGGGTAGGGTTGCAAAGGGGCATGGCTTGTTCTTACCAGGAAAGCATGTGATATATGGACGCAGAATTCTACAGCAATCCCGATTGACATTATCAAATTCACAACAGAAACTGCATTGAGTTGGATGCCTAGAATCACCATCATACCCTGCTCAAACACATCAAGGATGATTATCCTTTAGTACAACTTAAAACATCCAGAACGGCATGAACCAAAGCGCAAATCGGGACAATATTCTATAGACTTTTTCAATATAACATAGTACCATGAGATCCACGAGTATCATCACTAATACAAGGACAATGATGGCTGAACTCCAGGCACTGAAATTGACAAGTTGATAAAAGAAACCAACATGAAGACATCTCCAAATTCTAAAATTTTGCATAATCTATAGAGAGATAACTGACCTGGAAGTGATTAACCAGCAAACAATAAATATAGCACCTGCCAAACCAATATAATAATGTAAAGAGTTGTCTTTTGGTAAAATCTCTAGCAAAAACTCAAAATTTGATAGATGGGAAGCAAACCGATTGCTATAGCGAGGTTTGTCAAAGCAACAGTCCAGATATTCAGATATTGCTCAAAGAAAATGTAGAAGACAGAATATGGAAAGATTTCAATCTGCATGACAAAAAAACAAGGGTTATTATATAGGCAGCTGAGCAGAACAACAAAGACATATGGCGGACCATCCTCCTTCAAGCAAAGCCAGCTAATCTATACTTCCTTAAAGCAGAATTCATCACCAGGTTCAAACCTTCAAGGAATTGGATATTCTTGAACTGAACTCCCGAGCAGCTCGCAGTGCATTAACATAGTCACCCTGAGGAAATTTTCTCACTTGTGAGTTTTTTTTTTAATAATTCGCTTGCCAGAAACAATAATGTCATACTTGTGTGTTAAGTGGAGTGTGGTATGTACGGAACTCAGATGCCTGTATAACACCACTCTCATACCCTGAAATAAAAAAACCAAGCGTCCAAGAAAAGGTTCAGACCAAAAGCAAATTAAAGAAATGAGGTAGTGAAAATAGATTTTCTTATCAAGGAAATTCCAGAGTACCTTTTAAATCCACGCTATTCGTATAAGCCCCGTGACCACCCTTTGCACAGTCAGCCGATGGCAAAGCATTTAGAAACCAGGGTAGTTTCTCCCTGAATTGAGCTGTAGATGGACGATCCTGAACCAAATCTGAGTGTCGAAAGCACTGCGATGGTTTACAGACTTAGATCTATTCTAAATATTGTTGAGAAAGAAAGAGAGAGACACTTACTGTAGTACAGTCTTTACAGATCCCATCTAAACTGCATATATCTTCCTCAGCCGTGCAGCAAGGTGGCTGTAACTTGACACTTTAAGTTAGAAACTAAAACACCAGTTTGCATTTTTAAACAGCTGATTTTTGATTAAAGGCAATAAATTAGCTTATGAACCATTATCATATCTTTTGCGGTTAAGAGAGAACTATATCTGTTAAAGCGAAAACGAAACTGAAAACACAAAGTAGTTTCCACAATAGTCACTATAAGATAAGACTGACCTGGTCGTCTGGAGGACAATAACTGCCATTAGTGAACTTCCGACAACAGCCAAAAGCCTCTGGTGATAGCCATACAAGAAAGTCATCGAGCCAAGAAGCAGCTGGTTTGGCAATGTAACTTGTATCTGGAGCCTGTGACGCTCTTGATATCTGGTGGAAGGTGGGGAAAACAAAGAATGTTAAGGACAAAACCCTTTTGGGTGGATATTTACCGAAGATACATTAAACTTATAAGAATTCATATGATGATTTTAGTAGGATAAATTACACCAGTTACTGACTAAAATAAAACCATTTTAGACAGGAGCATCTCCGCTAATACATTCATTATTATTACCTCATTTAAAAGAGAATTCGAATTGCATTGGCTGATAGAGCACAACTGATTTGTTTGCCTTGATTCCAAGCTGCCAAAAGAATCCATTTCAGTGCAGGACAACTGCTAGATAATAAATTGTACCAGAGAGAGTGCTTTTCTGTGTGTGTATCAGACAGATAGAGAACCTATAATTGTAATTCTTGACTACAAAATACAAAGGGGGCCCCACTCTGAGGTACTCTGAGAGACTGTCAAAATAGTCCTGTCAAATAAAATTCCAATCGTGATTGGGGGAATGAGCAAGAGATGAACACAAGGAGAAAAACGTAAAGGAGAAGTCAAAAATAGAACACACTAAACTTGAAGGTAGGAGTCTCGAGGAAGCACAATTTTCTGCTCCAAGCCAGTTTCAAGCCTTGGGCTGATGGCCTTAATGAATAAAAACACAGGAATCGTAATTACAAAAACAATTGATATAATTCACTCCATATTCTGAATACTTTTTGATGATATAGTTATATTGTAGTGCTAAAGAAGTGTTAAAGCGGAAAAACAAATAGTATATAACTATATATATATAGTGAAAAAAGAAAGCAATGAGCAAAATGAAGTCAGAACTTACAATGCTTGCCAGCGCAAAAGCCAAGAATACAGCGACAACAACCATTTTTACAACCCAAAGTCCAAGAACGGGTGCATGAACCTCCTGTGGAACACCAAGACTAAAAATCAACAAGATTGCGGACTGTAATTACATGTTTGTGTGTGTCTGTGACTGTATTTTGCACATATCATATGTGTATTAATAAGAAAGAGAGGTTGTCCCAGTTTTGAGAAAATCAAAACACCTTCATGTATCTCTCAAGAAACCCAGGTCCTCTTCCACCTGTAAACGCACAAAACCCTGCCTAAGTTGAAGGAAATGATACAGTTCAAAAGACACTAATTCTAAACATTTCTGGTAGTAAGTAATAACCTTCAACAGATTCTTGAGATGATGAAGGAACTTTTATGCAAGGGAAACAATCAATCCTGTTATCCGCAGATCTTTTGCAGTCAAAAACTATTAGCGCAACAAAAGCGGTGATTTGCAGAAAGAAGTCCAGCATAATAGCCAAAGCTGCACAAGTTGAAAAACAGTGTCACAGACTCGCAACTAATGGACACAGAGAGCACTAAATATTTACAAACCTGCAAACATGGAGAAGATACGACATGCTGGCATTGGAACAAAAGCTCCAACAGCAAAAGCCAAGACCTCGGATAAACTTGCCAATGTTATGGATGGACCTACTTCAACAAGTGCAGAGCTAATTCGTTGTTCTAAAGAAACATCACGAGGTTGTCTCTTTACAGCATGAACCAGTATGCACATATTATCTACTCCCACCTGTTCACTTATGGAAAACCATTAGTATATCCATCAACAGATATACCAAATTTCCACTGTTCCTACTACAGAGGCTGAAATCGAACTTACAGCCAGGACTAGGAAAGGAATGACTTCCATTATGATCAATGTGGATTTAACTCCAAGGGCACTGAAAACTCCAACAGATCCAAGTACTGAAAGCAAGACAAGCACAACCCCCGAAAGACCGAGCAAAACCTAGAAGTCATGATATTGATATAAGTAAGCTGTGTAATATAATCGTCCATCCACAATACTTTCATATTCCCAGTCCTAGAAGTTGAATGTGAATATTTAGCTTCAAAAATCATATACACTCATGGTAGACGGATTAGGAAAAAAAAGGAATATCAATAGTTCTGAAAAGATCACCCTGACAAAGTTATAGGCATTAAGATCATTTCAGTTGGGAACGGCGAGCATAAGTAATTCCTAGCATTTCATAAGATTCCCATTATTCAATACTTTGCTTCTCCAAACTCTAAAAGAATACTCACGTGATTGAATACAACTGAAATGCCTATAGAGGAACAACGAACTTGAGAGGAAGATCAAGACGCACGTACCTTTGATGAAATGTAAAAAGTAGAGAACTGCGGCGCATCTCCAAGTGTGACCGAAATGTAAACAAACATAACCAA